CCAGGCGGGGCGCCATCACGGCCAGAACCGGGCCTGAACAGACACAGCAGGACGGGGTTTACTGCAGGACGGGGTTTACCGCAGGGGGCGCTCTAGAGCAGAACGTGGAGCTCAGAATGTCAGCGGTTTACTTCCACAGTTCACCGACAGCAGCCATTTTGTTCATGTATCTTTCTCTTACACATTGTCCACATATTTTGTTTTTGTTGGTCTCCATGGGTTCGCTATGCATTGGGCTACCAAGATGGCATGAAAAAAACTAAAATAAAATTCAGATTTGGGTTAATAGGATACGGACAAAAGAAACCCGGATTTCGCCAAAACTGGGTTTGAGCAAAAGAAACATTGTTTGGTTCTTTTTAGTCTCTTTTGCTGAATATGAACTCTAGTCTTCGTCCAGAAATCAAGTCATCTCTTTATGATGCCATGTTTTTCCCCAGGAAGCCATTTTTTCACATCTATTCGCTGCCATTAAATCTGTCAGCCTGTCCTGGTTTTAAACTCACCGCTGTGACCTTGGAGGCAAACTTTCCCAAGTGTCTGAGCTATGAATGTCAAAGAGCAATCGACCCCATCTGTGGAAGACATCAGAACAGCTGAGTGAACAATCAATAACAATAAATATAACACATCTGATGGGATTAATATAAAAACATATGGAAGCATATTATGACATCAACATCAGATTCATAAAGTCATAATATAATTACCTAAGTGCCAACTAAAATCAGGTGAGGCAGCGTTTACGCTAAATGAGTGTAATAACTACTAAACAAGAAAATATTCACTGATTAAATATTTCTGTAATATTGTCAAACAATAACTGTAAATTTTAAATATTAAATTTACATAATCAGATGGACCAAAATATAAAGTTCAGCGGAAATTTTGGTATTTAAGGATCAAAATGACAATAATTCAAATAAGTAACAAAAAAATAACAAAATCAGGCAAAAGAAAATTTTTCTAAATCAGTTTCTTTCAATAAAACATGTATTAAACTTTAACATGTTTGTTTTTCATTTAGAGAATCCAGAAATTTTACTCAAGTAAGAGTAGCAATACTTTATAATAAAATTACTCAAGTAAAAGGTACAGCGCAGCAAAAATCCTCCTAAAAGTAAACTATAATACTGTAAGTAAATCTAACTACTAGTTACTAATGAACTCGGCTCCGGTGTCCTAGCAACAACCTGCTAGCTAAAGTGGCGCCAACGCCAATCTCCGCTAGCTAAAGTGGCGCCAACGCCAATCTCCGCTAGCTAAAATGGCGCCAACGCCAATCTCCGCTAGCTAAAATGGCGTCACCTCTGAGGGCGCGGCAGGTCCTCTCCAGAGCGGCCAGCATCTCCGAGGCCAGCAGCGGGTAGAACCGCTGGGGCGTGAACAGCGGCCGGTTGTTTGGGTGCAGCCTGTTGGCGGTGAGGTCCGGCAGAGCGGCTAACCGGGCTAGCAGCGTCTCTCTGAGCTGGGCCGAGTCCGACGGCACCGAACCGAGGCAGAAGGACCACAGCAGGTCCGCCAGGCGGCCGCTCTGCAGGAAGCGCTCCGTAACGCTGACCAGGCGGTCCAGACCCGCGCTGGGCCTGCAGGGAGCGGACAGAGGACTTCATCAGCCAGGTCTGGACGATAAACTGCCCCAGACATTATTGCGATAAACGATAATATTGTCGTTTTGATGCAATTTTCAACTAATACAATAATAATGGCTTATAATAATGGCTATGAAAGATCAATTAACTTTAGTTTTGTACAGAACAGAAACATTTACACTGGGACTGGCAGATTTCTTAAAGGTACAGTATGATGTTTTTCTAGGCACATATTTACATTTTATACCATAATCAAGTAACTATGTTTCCTTCGGGGAAGGAAATATCCAAAATAAAACAACCAAAATCTATACGTAAAAATGGAAATAAAAACAACAAAAGACCTGAACCATACATAATGGATTATCTAGTCTTTAAACAAAATTACCCTTCAAGAAATATCAGACTTTAAATTATCCGGCTCATTTTAATGTAGGATTTAAAATACCCTTTCCTTTCTTTGCATTTTGTAGTGCCTAATGTACATAGAAAAGGCAAAACTCTGAAACAAAAAAATAAAAAAGGACATTTTTGAGTATCATGAATCCACTTTTCAAACTCAGAAAAAATGAATTCATTAAAAATGTCTGAGATCAATCTCCGATTTTTTTTTCTTTTCTAGCAAATATCTGACTTTTCAATCTCTGAAATTTTATGTTTTCTAGAAGAACATGTTTGAGATTTAGCTCAAAAGTTTAGTTTATTGCTCTTCCTTCATGTCCCTGATATGTCGTCGTAGTTATTAATATTTTAGATAAAAAACAGATCATTAGCTCGTCTCACCGGAGCTGGGTCACGGCCTCCATCAGCACCAGCAGCGCCTGATCCGGCGGCCCCTTCAGGAACAGCGGGTCCCACAGCTGGGAGCGCTGTGCGGCGGACAGGCTGTGGGTCCAGTCAGCCTGGAGCTGCCCGACCAGAACCCGCAGGGTTCGGCTGTAGTGGGTCCTCCGGAACTCCTCCCGCTCCGCCGCGGTGCAGCTTTCAGCCCCGTCATCTAAATAGGAGTTCAGCGTTTCCAGGGCGTCAAAAACGTCTGTATGATCCGCGGAGGAGGAGAGCGTCCGGAAGCACTGGGCCACTTTCAGCCGAACCTCCGAACTTATCGAACCCGACTCCATTTATATTAACATCTAACTTAACATCTTGCTGAGAAATGAATCCATAAAAATAATACAAAAAAGTTTCCCCTCTAATTCAGGAAAAGATGTTTCGGTGTGATTATTCTTGATTATTCTCGGAATCATATGATGCTGATTTCAGTAAATGATCAGTTTAACTTTAGCTTCGTCAACTCAACTTGCTAAAAACGTGCAAAATGCATCTAATTAAACATCCACCAACTCGTCCAGTCATAGAACTACAACTACAACATTTTATCAACAGCTAACATTTGAAGCTTCAATGGAAATATTGTGGAAAAACGTGAAATATCGACAGCATTTGATTCTCCGGCGTCCTTCATCAAAACACGCCCGGAGAGTGCAACAGCTGTAACTTTGGTTCCGGGTGTCCAGTTGTACCGTGATGGTTATGATTTCGTCGCTTGTAGTTTTTCATGACTTAATTGTTTTGTAAATGGTTTTTTGAATAAATTAGTGCGTCTGCATCGTTTGATTGGAAACGTTTAGGGGGAATAATTATGAGAAAAGTTATTTGGGTCTCGATCTTCATTTTAACTTAACTCATTGGGCAATAATGTAGATCGAAGACAATGTAATCACAATAGTAAAAAATATTTACCCTTTTATTAAATAAAAAAAAAAGACCTATTTTAGCTTTTGGCAGTTGTGATCCTAGACCAAATTTACAAGTGCTGGCAAAGTGCGACCAGAACAAATGGAAGGAAAACTAAAAACACAAAAAGTTATCTTTATTATTTTAAATTAAGCAAGTCAAAAGGCCACTTGTGGCTCTGGAGCTGCAGAATCCTGATTCTCTCTCAATAAGTCTTTATTATTTTTTTTACTTTACTGCTAAAATAAAAACTGAAGGTGACTTGCTGCATTTTTACTGAGGAAAACTGAAACATTTCTCTTTGCTGGACTATCTAGTCAGTGTGCATTAAAATCTTTTATTACCTCCAATTAATCTGAACTAATCTTTCACACCAATATGTGGCTTTCATTTTATAATCTGTAAAAACATTCACAGTGCAGTAAATATTTCCAACCAGCAGGTGGAGCTAGAGGCTTAATGTCTAGTCAGTAAAGTGATTGTTGGTGTTAATCAGATTAAATGCATAAATGTCAAATTATGACAAAGATGTTGCAGATTTTTTAAGTGCTTAAATAAAAACAAAACAGTTCATTTTATTCCATTTATTTATTCTATTCTTACTTCCACTTTTTACCTTTAAATTCTCTTACAATAAATGACATATTTCCCCAGTAACAATTAGGAGTAAATCATTTGTAGGGAGCTCCAAAAATATTATACAGCTGTACCCAATACTGTTATAATTTATACATTAATTATACATTTATCTTTGAAAATAGGAATAAATTTACTTCTTACAGATTCTCTTTTCTACAGTATTTGCTTCCCGTCCTTCTCCGTCACACAAGCTGAACACGACTGATGGCGACGCCTTCAGCAAACCTTCAGACGCGTTTGAAGGAAACGGGAAAGAAGTCCGCAAAAATGTTTATATGTACAGCTCAGATGTTTAACGCACAACTTAAAACCAACTGACTTTACCCAGGGGTCATCATCAGGTTCAGAGAGAGACAGTGTTTAGACTACAGGCAGAGCCGGACCAAGGTAGAAGCAAACTGAGCACCAGCTTGGCACCTTAGAGGCGACAGACGGGTAAATTATTTTTGGTTTAAGAGGCCAACATCTTAGAAGTAGCATTAGAAGAAAAAACTGCTTTAATTTATATATTTTTTTGTAACTGATGGTAGTTTGGGGGCCCAAAATCAAGTTCTGTCAAAGGCCGCAGATTTTTTTGGACTGGCTCTGCTACCATGTCAGTTTCCTTCAGAAAAAATTCAGAACAGAATCAGTCTTTGGTCATTTTGAAACCAGGAAATAAGATGATGGATCAGGTCAAAGTGCAAATCTAATCTACAAAAAAAAAAAAAATAATACAGGCATAATGAAACACCTAGATGCGTCTACGTCGTATTTTCACTCAAAGAAATCAGGAATTATTCAACTTTAAACCTTTTTTCACCCTTGTGAAAGCCAGGAGGTTTGAAAATGTCATCTTACTGATCGTGGATCAGAGACGTACAAGAACTCTGGGCATCCATGCAGGACCCGACTCCCTCCGGGAAGACAACAGGAAGAACTTCACGGAAGAGCGCGCCGACCTCAGGCGGCCATCTTGTGCAGCTCAGCTAACTCTTACCTCGCTAATAAACTCTCCCGCCGTGTTATCGGTGTCAATAAATGTGAATTCAATAAAGCACAAACATATTTGTTTCAGCAGAACAGGTCGGTGTGAGCCGTCGACGAATAAATACCGGCGTGAGACGAAGAACCCCGACGGAAACTATACACGCTACATGCTACAGGCGACCTTCGTTCCTCTGCTGCGACTAGAAAAATACCTAGAATCTAGAATGAGTGTAGAAAAAAACTTTACAAGACATTTACATCCAAGGCCATTGTTTTTTTGTTTTTGTCTTTTCCTTCATGGAGTGGCGAGTGAAGAGCAGTGAGAAAGAGGCGAACAGAGTGAAAAAACGAGGAAATCTTAGACGTACTGGTGTCAAAGGTCGTGATATAAATCCACATCCAGGTCGGCGTTGGAGTCCAGAATCAGTTCATGATGTCTTCACCCAGCAGAAGAAAAGAATCACCACCTCCATTCATTTCCTGCATTATTGCTACAAAAACGTCTGAAATCTCCAAGCTTGATGCTCGGAGTTGCATTTAAAGAAACGCTGCAGAATCATCGATGGTTCGACTCAACATGGCGTCGTAGTGTGATACTTTTCGCTCTTCAACAGATTCCTACAAATTATCCCTTCATAACATTTCATCCCACTTCCAAAAACAACAAAAAAACAATCATAGTGCAAAACAACCGCTAAATTCTTCACATACAACTTGTCAAAATGCCGGCATTTCATAGTTGCAGTAAAAACGTTGAACTTTCCTGCTTCACTCAGCAAGACGACGCTGGGATCAGGCGGGCTGTACTGGGATGGTCGGGATTCATTTAAAGGGACAGCGCAGAATTACTGAACTGAGGTCCTGATGAAGGGCTATGAGCAGTCAATATCTTACCCTACAGTGTCATGCTCACTTGGAGTCCTAATACAGAGTAAATCCAGAGTTAGCTTTAGCCTCAAGCTAACCGTTACATTGAGTTAAGCTTTTTTTCTTTTTAAACAAAAACTGCTGAGTTTGTAGATGGAGAACTAAAGAGGTGGTGTGTCTCCAATAATCTTCCTGTGTGAAACACACTGATCATAACAAGTACCAGACACACAAACAAATCAATTTATATAAATGTTTAGCTTCTTACATTGCTTTAAAAAAACAAAACAAAAAAACACAATCCCGACTATAAATGCTTCAGTTTTTCCATTCTTCATAGGCGTTTCACACAGGAAGACTATTGGTGGTGCACTGCCTCCAGCCTCCATGCAAATAATGATTATCTCTGTTCAAATTATCAATGTGATTTTTGTGAATTTGATTCATCTTTGGAGGTTACCTGCTAATTCTTTTCGTAGTAGCCATTAGCTTCACATTTTTCAGACAGGAAGACTTTTAGTGGCGCACCGCCTCCAGCGATCTGTCTCTGTAAATTACTGTTTAAAGGTTAATAAGATTCACATAAACCAAACTGATGTTTTTGGAGGTTAACGGCTAATGGCTAACTCGTTGGGATTAGTTTCTGGGGACGAGTTCTCTGGATTTATCCTGAATCGTTGCGGACAGAGAGAAAGAAGAAGTGCTTATTTTGCGCAGCTGGCCCTTTAAATGTTTGTAGTGCTGCTCCAGCCCACCTGACATCCAGGACCCTGTTTCATTGTAAACATAAACCAAACAATAAATCACTTCTTTCATCTTGTTAGTTTTCTCCCCTACAGCAATGATTGTTTTATGCTTTTCACCACATTTAGTGTCGCCATCTTGGTTCACACAAACAGAAAAAGCAAGGGAACGTGTCTCACACACACACACACACACACACACACTCTTGCTCTCTCTCTAAAGGAAACCCTGGAGGAGTTTCTGGTCAGGAGAAACCTCCCTCATCGGGTTGAGCTATAGAAACGGACCGTCGCTGACCCCTGACCTGCGCTTCATGCGGTTGGTGAAAACACGACTCAGCCTGGGTCGGGTTTCCTCGGGTCGGACCGAGTTGCTCGCGGTGCGCTCAGCAGAATTAAATACTTTGATCAACCCTCCTTTAAGGCGTTTTGGTAGAACTGGTTTTAGGTCGATTAGAAGCTGATTGGGAGTAAAGGAGGATCTAATCTACGCTTGCATTTCCACATTCATCCACCAGGGGGGGCTCGGGTTCCTCCAGCCAAATACATGGAAGTCACCAGAACCCAACGGCGCCAACGCACACATCCACACAAACCGAAAAGAAACGAAAACAAGCTCATCTTTTACTGACAGCCTTGGACTCTAGAAATTTATCGTCATTTTCTAATCCAGTTTGGAGTCATGAGTGTTGAAAGAAGGTCCAATAAATTAATTTTTACATCCTCCCTTGTTTTCCTGGTTCCAGATGTTCGATATAAATAAGTTTGCAGCCTGTGGAGCCGGCGGCGCCCGTTCCTAATCGGACTATTTGACCTCCAGGATGGAGGGGTTGGACTCCATGATGGCCACGATGATCTTATCGATGTAATCCTGGAGCCGGTAGTTGATCTCCTCCTGTTTGTGAACGGCCTCCATCAGCTGCAGACAGACGGACAGAAGTTGGTCATAAACACGAAGCTGACAGAGAAAAACTTGAGACCAATGCATCCGGGATCTACAGCCGATCACGGATCTTTAAAAATTCTGACCTGCCGGTTCCGGTTCTGGACGAAACTGATTTTTTTGTCTGAAAAGTTGCTACATACAGCAACAGAATTTTACTGGAGTTTGTCCAACAGTAAGTAGATCATTATTACAGAGGTTAAAAGCTCGAAACTATAAAACTAAACTTCCTCTGATGTTCTCCATTGAGCCTTCCTGTTATCTGCTGAAGTCTTGCTCTCTCTCTCTATTGCAGCCAGAATAAAACAAATCCGTCTCAACATGTCACCGTTTCCTTCTAAGCAGTTTCCTCCATCTTTGTTTTTAAACATCAAACTTCTACTGTAAACGGCGAACCGAGTCGTCACTCTGTTAGTTTTTACCGACCCGTTTCTGATTCGGGTTTGTTTTAAACTCACTTCGGCCCGAGACACGGAGCTGATCTCAGCGGCCAGGGAATCGGAGAAGGAGGCAGACATCAGGTTCTTGGCTCCCTGGATGCTCAGGTTGATGATCTGTCCGTTCAACTCGTCGTTCTGCTCTTTCAGAGTTCGGTTGTCCTGGAAACAAACCGTCAGATTTTAAAACCTGTTAACACCAACTGAAACTGGGCCTCTGTCTCTTTAAGAAGTTCCTGCTCTTTCTGAAGCTCCGCCTCCAGGAAGTCGTCCCAACATGGCTCCTCTATTAACCCTTTAACGTTCATTACAGCTGCTGAGCTCCTGTAATGAGCTCAGCAGCTGTTTGCTAATTGCTGCTGGCTAGTCTGAAGGAGCTGATGTGGGAGGAGCTGCGCCTGGAAGGCGGAGCTAAGGCCAACCAGGCGTTTTAACAGCAGAATGGTTGCCATGGAGATTAAAGGATTTCTCAGACATGATGAAAGAATCAAAACTCCAGGCTCGTTTTTAACGAGGGAAAAACATAAAAACACGATGGAAAGATTAAAGTTAATTTTCCATGTTACTGTCCCTTTAAGACGCTGCAGCAGAGCGGGAGATTCGTTCACCTGTTTGAGTCTTTTGATCTCCTGCTCCAGCTCAGCCTCCCGGGTCCGGGTCTGGTACTCCTGCAGCCCGGCGCCGGGGGTTCGGCCCCGCTTGGCCTCGGCCTCCAGCTTGTAGAGCTGAAGATGCTCCAGCTGCTTCCGCAGATCTTCGATCAGCTGAGGGGAACCAGAGAAATGTTAGAATCTGCCTAGCAACAGCTGAGTCCTGCTGCAGAAGCCCCGCCCTCCGGCCCCGCCCACCTCCTGGGTGCTCTCCTTCTCCTTCTGGTTCTGATGGCGCTCGTGACTCAGCTTGTCGGCCATCTTCCTGCGGGACTCCGTCTCCTCGTTCAGCCGGTCGGACTGAGTTTCCACCTCGTCTTCGAGCTTCCGCTTCTCCTGGAAACCAGAAAGAAAGGATGAGCAACCGGAAACGAAATCAGACAACAGAACGAGAAATGAGATGAAACCCGTCCCACCTCCTCTAGTCGCTCGATGTTTGCTCTGAGGCAGGGAACGCAGGACCGCAGCTCGCTGTTCTCGTCGTCCAGCTGCTGCAGCCTGAGCGACAAACACTCGGAGTCATTCACCAACGTTTCTGCTTCGCAAAACTCAGATTATTAATTTGGCTTTAAAATATGAAGACAGAAGTAAAAAATTACATTTTCTTAAGTCTTGAAAATAAAACATTTTGTTTATGCTCCAAATAAGTTTTATGAAAATTTATTTGAAACTAAAAAACAGTTAAAAACTTCTCAGATTAAAGTTCTTTTTTACTGCTTTTTCAAATATTTTCTTTTTCAAATCTTAATTCCAACTTTCCATTTTCTTTCCAGTTTCCAATGTTTCGTTTTTTTTTCCACAGTTGTCCTAAATAATCTTAAACTGAGTTTATGGCCCTGATTTCTCTCCGTACTCCAGATTATAATCCCGGCTCAGCAGCAGGTTTGACGCCAGGCCGTGACCCGTCTCCTCACCGGGCCTGGGCGTTCTCCAGCTCCAGCCCCTTCTCGCGCTCCAGCTTGCACAGCGCCTCCTTGTGGCGGCGGTTCTCCTGCTGCAGCTGCTCGTCGGCCTGCAGCTCCTGCTCCTTCAGCTGCTCCTCCAGCGCGTTGGCCCGGTGCACCAGCTGCAGGTTCTCCTGCCGCAGCCGGGCGTGCTGCTCGCCCGACGCCTCCGACTCCTTCTCCAGCTCCGCCACGCGCCGCTCCAGGAGCAGCACCTGGGAAAGGTCAGAGGTCAGGACCAGAGACTGGGCGCTGGATGTAAACTAGAGATATGAAACCTTCAGTTTATGATGATTCTATTCCAACTTTTAATTCAAAAACTACTTTTTCTGTTCAATCGGTCCAGAAATTCGGCTTAAATTACGTGGAAAAAACTGTAAATAAATAGAATATTTATTCACAGGGGAAGCATCATGGAAAATAAACTTTTTGACTTCCTGTCAGGTTTTAATGTTTTTCCCTCATCAAGAACAAACCTAAAGAGTCGCCTTGATTCTTTCATGCATGTTTGAGAAATCCTTTAATCTCCATGGGAACCATTCAGCTACAAAACGCCTGGGTGGACCTAGCCCCGCCTTCCAGGCACAGCTCCTCCTCAGAGGGGCAGCATTGCATGGCGGCCATTTTATAGCACAATCGGGTACCTGCGTTACCTTCAGTTGTTATAAAAATGTCATTTATGTCCAATATAAAGAAATTTTGCTTCCTGATTTATCACCTTGAAATTGGGCCTGTTTCTTTAAGAAGCTCCGCCTCCTGGAGGCCAAGATGGCTCCTATATTAACCCTTTAACGTTTCTACCAGCGTTGCTCTGAGCAGCAGCTCCTATAATGAGCTCAGCAGCTGGTTGCTAATTGCTGCTGGCTAGTCTGGAGGAGCTGAGAGGGGAGGAGCTGCGCTTGGGAGGCGGGGCTTGGTCCACCCAGGTGTTTTAACGGCTGAACGGTTGCCATGGAGATTAAATGATGCATGAAAGAATCAAAGCACTTCAGGTTTATTTTGGATGAAGGAAAAACATTAAAAATAGAATTTTTTTTTAAAAAAGTCTGATTTTACTGAATAATACATTTTTTAAATTATTCAAATTGTACGAGTGACAACGATATGCAGTGTGCAGTAAAGTTACACAACTAAATCGCATTTTAAAATCTTTCAGTATTTTGAATTGATTTGCAGTCCCGTTGCCAGGAATTGATCGATTATTGAATGTTTTTTATCGTCACCTTGTCTGTGATGTCGTTGTCGGCGAGCTCCAGGATGTCCCGCGTCAGGTCGCTCATGGTGTCCAGAGTCATGGAGCTGTTCTGCAGCAGATGCCTGTGGGAACCAGGAGAGTCAGAGCGGCGCTCGCCGATGGCTGCTAACCGACGGCGAGCGCTTCACTCACCTCGCCACCTTCTTGCTGGAAAGCCGCTTCCCGGCGCTGCAGGGAGACAGGAAATGCGGTGAGGGGAGAAACAGTCACCAAAATAAAGCTCAGCGACTCACAGCAAACAAACCGCCGCAGGTTTACGAGGCTAAAGGCTCTGATGGAGGAGCAGATTCACATGACAGAAATATAAAATACAAGTTTTAGATTCATCATCAGGACTGATGACGAATCAGTAAAACTGAAAGCCTGATTGGTCTGTTGATTCATGTTACCAAGAGTTCCTTCACAGTTTTAATGTCCAGATTCTTTAAGTTTCCCAACTTAAACGTTCTGGTTTAAGTTGGATGAAACTGAAGAACCAGCAGGAAACACGGCAGGTTAAATCAGAAACCTGAGCGACGAAACAAAAAGGAAACCAGGACAGAAACAAGGAAGGAAACAAATATTCAGGCATAATTTTTTTTCGTTTGTCCACCTGGATTTTCAGATTTTGCTCTTAATTTTTCAAGCTTCATTCCACATTTTTCTCCAGGTGGTTTAAAAACCTGGAGTCTAAATTGATCCTGAATCAGCAAATCTGCTCCAAAACCAGCCGGTTCTGTCCAGCCTTTACAGTCATGAAGGAAACGAACAAAACAAACTTTACTTCAAATAAATCCGACATACGACAACGGTTTACGGTCATCTTTCATCAAAGTAAACTTTGTTTTTAACTCATGAAACTAAAGCCACAAAAAGAAGCTGGGATGGAAACAAAACAGGATCAGAACTTTATAAACGTGAGGATGTTCAGCACAGCACACCGAGTTTCTACCAGTTAGCATGCAGACATGAGGGGACATGCAACCTAATCAGCACCGCAGACATAAAGAGCAGCAGCAGCTCCTGCAGCAGCAGCAGCTCCTGCAGCAGCAGCAGCTCCTGCAGCAGCAGCAGCTCCTGCAGCAGCAGCAGCTCCTGCAGCTGCAGCAACAGCAGCTGCAGTGTGTTACCTAGTCATCTCTAGGAAATTGAGGCGTGTGGACAGATCCTCCAGGCGACTGATCTGCCTGTGACACTGGCTACAGAAAAAGTCCAGCGCCTCCTCCCTGAGGAAGCTCTGGAAACAGTCAGGGAGGCAGGCGGGGGCGCTGGAGAGGCAGGAGAGAAGAAAAGAGGAGGAAGAGGAGGAGCAGGTGAGTGGCAGACAGGAGGAAGTGAAGATGTGTTCAGGTGCGACAGGAAGTCCCGTAAAGCAGAGCTTTAAAGAGTTAAAGAGATGTGAGGCTGTGGTTCAGTTCTGGACAAAACAAGAGAAAAACAGTGGATTCAGCTAAGAAAGGTGTTCAAAGTGAGGTGCAGGGGCCATCTGTGGTCCTAGGTGGGCAGTAATGAGGACCGCACAACAGCTGCAGTATGCAACTTTGTAACTAATAAAAAGAGAGAAGAATAATCCTTTTTGTCCTTCTGGTGTTTCCTTACAGATTCTGACAAATGAATAACCCATTAAACTGTAAAGTGTCTGCGTTTTTTTAAAGGCTAACGCTGAACTAAACTAAGTACTGCAGTACTTTAACTAGACAAAAAATACTTTTACTGCAGTTCATATTTTTGTCATTATTTTGACTCTAGTGTTGAGTCACTGCTGTGAAAAAACGCTTTGCTAAGCGGCGTCTAAGCTGGAATATGGAGGCAGGAGTGTGTGTGTGTGTTTGTGTGGACATGCACAGCAGTGAGGGTGACTGTCTCCAAACACAGTGACTCATTCACACTGAGTGGGTGAAGTTTTATCTCACCAACCGAAGCTGGACATTTAGTATCAAACTCACTAAATTCACTTCAGAAAGAAACAAACGGATTCAGCTGGTGATCATTTTAAATTTATCCTGGTTTAAAATGCTGGAACATTCTGCAGATTTTTTATTTAGGCTCATTTTATAAAATATTAGAAAGAAAAATGAAAAAACAAGGTTTGTCCATTTTCAGCACATTTAAGCCCTTTAATGATGAGTTTTCAAACTCTTTACTTTGTAGATAAAAACTAATTCACAATTTTATAAACTAATTAATAACGTTTTGTTAGTACTCAAGGACAATAAACTAAATTTTATGTTTTGAAAATTCAAAAACAAATTTTAATGATGTTCAATGTATTAATCCACTTTCATTAGAGACCAATAATTTATTGAGCCGATGGGATAATAAATATTCCTCACATTGAAATAATCCAGTCAAATGGAGGTAAAGTAAAACACCTTCCTGCTATTTAAATGTTCAAACTGTTTAAAGTTTTCAGGCATTTGATAAATAGAAATTAAGAAAAGTTTATTCTGATTTAACTTCAGACATGGAGGGAAATTTATTTTCCTTAGGCATATGTAAATATCTGGTTTCAACTCTAAACATTTTCCAAATTTATGTTTTTAATCAAATGTTGGATTTTTTTTTACAAAACTGAAGTTTGGATATAAATCACTTTACAAACATTGAAAAAAAATCTCAATAAATTAAGAATTTTAACCATTAAATTAAATAATTTAATTCCTTTTTTTAAATAAACGTTTTATTCAGACATTCGTTCTCCAGCAGCACTTCTGATTAAACTCGTCTAGTTTCAGTCGACATAATTCATTTAGTGCTGAAACTCTCAGCATCACCAGCCAAGTTATAAAACCAAAACATTTTTATAACTTCCAGCCGTTTCATTGCAGGGCCACCAGTTCACTCCCATAATGACCAGCGATTTACAAAACCAGCCAGTTAGCCGCTGAGCTTCCTGGAGAGGCCCCAGTGGGAACTATGCTTCATCCGGCTTAAAAGCGTCGAGGAGGAAAAGCAGCGAATGAGAACCTGAATCAGAATTTATGCGACTGCAGAGAATTTATTCCATTTTCCAGCTGAACTGGATCAAAACGGAAACGTTTGTTACATTTTCAGCTGCTGCGGTTCCACATTTAACCTGGCCTGTGGGGGGCGCTCCTGGCCCCTCCTGGCCTGTGGGGGCGCTGCACCAAGAACCACTGCAGGAAACGACAGAATCCTCTGAAGGACCTCCATCCACAAAACAAACCGAAATGTTGCAGCATCAGATTTTAGCGGTTGAAGGATTTCTCTTGACTATCAGATTACGAACATTTCTCCTGCTAGCGCTAGGCTAGCGAGAATGTTTTGGTTGCATTACCCAGAATGCCCTGCGCTGTAGTCCACTTCCTGCTTTTGGAGCGTCTATGGTCCACTTGGTGTTCACATGACTTGAAACCGAATCAGAGTTCACTTCAACCAAACTGAAACCCAGACTTTCAGGACCAGAGTTCAATTCTTTGGTCTGATTACGCGTTCACCGAACCGGAGCTGGGACTGGACTCGGGTCGAAGCGGACCGGACCCGGACACGGAACCAGAGCCGGGTCGGGTCAGGGCGGTCCCGGAGCCGGGGAGGGGCAGACCGGACCGGACACGGAACCAGAGTCGGGTCGGGTCAGGGCGGACCCGGAGCCGGGGTGGGGCGGACCGGACCGGACACGGAACCAGAGTCGGGTCGGGTCTGGGTGGACCGGACAGCTGAATGCGTCGTTAGCATGTTTTAGCTTTCAGCGGGTCTCTATCGGTGCTGGAGAAACAAACTGTGCTGAATATTTTCCGGACCCGGTCAGAACCGTCCGTCCCACATTAAACCTCTTGAAGTAGCTCCTTTGAGCTCGATGGACTAGTCCAAGTAACTCTCCATCCATCAGAGGACGAGGCAGGTGGGAGTAAAACGCATTCGATACATTTTTCCTGTGAAGGTTAAATCAAGCAGCTGCGAACGCGGCGACAGTGTTTCACCTCTTATCAGAGAGCATGATGGGAAACATTGTTTCTGCAGCGTCTCGTTTAGAAATGGCACCGAGGCGCTACCATGGCGACCGCTCCTACCTGGGGGAAATGACGGCGGAGCCGTTGATCTGCTCGGGCGGCGCGGCGTCGCCCTGCCCCATGGAGCCGTCCGCGCTGGTCTCCAGCAGCAGGTCCGACGTGTTGCTCTCCCCAAAGTCCTCAAAGTGCTCCTCCTCTCCGCTGATGACCGTCACCAGGGAGTGGCTGTGGAGCTCCGAGTTCAGGGAGAACCTGCAGGGGGCGCCGACACATCGGGTTACTGAGATGTGTGCAACACCAGAACCACAAAAAGTTAACTTCAGGTCCAAATCAGAGAGGAGGGAGAAAACCTATAAAAGATGGTTAGCTGGATGCTAACAGCAGCTCAGATTTAAAGGAACAGTGGATTCAAAGCAGCACTTAGACACTGTTGAGTAAAAAGAAGTTGTGCAATTCTTTACTTCGGTATCTTTTTACTGGAGGAGCCAATCAGAAAGCATGCAGGCTGAACAAAGCTTGTGTATAAACACGAGGTCTCACTTCAACGTTGGTTTGGTTAAAACATGTTTCTTCTTCCTTCACCAACTTTTCTCAGCGAGTCGAGCATCCAGAAAGTTCACTGAACTCGAAGAGCAGCGACCCTGAATATCACAGCGTTTTACATCCGTTTCCCCCAATGAATAAGTAAAATTAGCTACTACCATCTTCTGGCTGCACATGCAGAGAAAAGTTTCTTTACTGAACACAAATTTACAGATTGAGTTTAAAAACAAAAACTTCACATTTATAAAAGGCTTTTTGTTGCCTGAGGCATAAAGTCCCAATAAAAGACACTGGATTTTGTGTTAATGCGACAAAATGAGGCTGAAGGGTGAAAACACTTCCTGCCTCCGTTTAAAGACAGAAGAACAAACCGGTGCAGCGCCCAGAACCCGGCCAGGTTTCAGAGTAAAAACCAGACAACTAATCTTTCCCCAGGAACCGCAGCAATCTGGTCAAGTTCAACGGCTGCTCGTTAAGCTAATCTGCTAATTCACATTAATCCCAAGGGCTCCTCCTGTACTCTTGGTAAATCTCAACCTCTGTGGCAGCAGGAGGCCATCTGATGTTCAAACGGGAGAAACAGTCGACTTCATGGAAACATGAGTCTGTTTTCCTCAGGATGAGGACGTTAAGTCAGCAGGAAGAAAAAAAGCGGGACTGAGATGACGGATTCGAGTCGCAACGCTCTAAAAACTACGAGTTACCGACTTACGTTTTACCCGTTTCCGCGCAAGCGGGCCCCACGGCGAGGTCCCCCACGCTGAGGGCCGGCGAGGAGCGCGATCGCATCTTTGAACGCCCGGCGCTGCCCTGGCGAGAAAGCCTGGGGGCAACGGGGGTCAAAACTCCTGACAACCAGAGAGGAATCCTGAAGTTTACGGTTCAACGCCACGCGAAGCAAAACGGCGACCGCACCAGACGCCACATGAAGGACGCCGCTCCGATTGGCTTGATCAGATTCCAGGCTGAGAGACAGACGGTACCGCTGCCCGAGCCGAGGTCCGAGCGTGTGTGTGTGTGTGTGTGTGTGTGTGTGTGTGTGTGAGGAACTAATCCTGTTAGATTGCTAATCCTGAGCCGAGTGAACAGAGTCGTACTCGTCGGTTCATCTGACCAAACAAACACGACTGAACTACGAGTTTCATTTCATCAGTTCAATGTTTCAGAGTCGGGTAGGAACTAGTTACTTTAGTAACTTTAGTTACTCACCTGTACTTTTCCTTTACCTGAGTAATTTTATTAAGCATCTCTACTTGTACTTGAATAAAATTTCTGGATTTTCTACCCAATGAATCAAGCAAAGAGGCGTACATTTATATCAGCTGGTGGTCAACACCTCCAACTGGTTGCCATGGGAGATTCAAACATGCATGAAAGAATCAAAGCAAAACTTTTTAAAGAGACGGAGGCCCAATTTCAGGGCATTAAATCTAAACATTTTATATCTGTAGCATTTTCATAACAACTGAAGGCAACTTAGTAGCTTGATTGTGCCATAAATTGGCAGCATGTGGCTGGAAAGCAGCAGCGACCCTCTGAGGAGGAGCTGCGTCTCGAAGGCGGGGCTAGGGCCACTCAGGCGTTTTGTACAGCCACGGAGGTTCAGGTACTTTTCAAACATTCATGAAAGCGTCAAAGCAACACTCCAGGTGTTTCTGATGAGGGAATAACCTGATGGAAAACTCACACGGTAAATTTTGCATAACGGCTCCCTTTAATACCAAATTCGTTGATGGCGTTGCTCATCCCTTCAGCAGCTTTCTGGACCTTTACGTCCATTCTGACATACGAGTATAAATGCCTCAATGTTGGTTCTGCTCTGAAACAGCTCAAATAAAACCCGCTGAGTCTGTAAGGTGACAGAATGTGGAAAATGTCCCGATTTAGCGATAAAACTACAAACTGCTGCTGGTGCAACAGGAGCTCAGACGGTCCAACACACCTGGCGTTCGGCAAACAGGCTGCTGGGACGAGCAGCTGAAGGCCAGAGCCACACGGTTCATCTGCCAGCCTCAGTCAGCAGGTAACGCCTCAGTCAGCGGCAGAGGAATGAAGGGATTAGATTAGCTTTTGCCAGAGTAAGAGAAAAAACGGGAAGAAAAACGCTGAATCAACACTTCCTGGAATTCAAGGCTCACACGTGGAACGGGAAGTCCGAAGGCGTCCCTGTCAAGAAGCCGGACAGACTGTTCCCCAGTCAGCAGATCCCGAGGCTACGCTGCACTTCCTGCTGCTGCTGGACAAAACAACCCGCTCAACGAAACAATGTAAAAATACTCATCACTTCTGGATGCCAAGCAAAGCAGCGGTCAGATCCGAGTTCAGGAAAAAACCAAAATATTTAAAAAAGAAGAACTGTGGGGCTCCAAGGCCTGCAGTACGAGACGATTAGTCAGATTGTTAGTGATCGAGTCCATTCGATTGGTAAAATTTCATCAATAAATTAAAATTAATGACATTCGATCATTTATCAAATGTCAAAAATTAAAAAAATTACATTTTTGAACTTCTTGGGTTTCCGTAGTTCAGAGTGACTTCAGTACGCCGAGGGCGGCCATCTTGTTTGACCTGTGTGTTTTACAGCTTCTCTACAGCAGAATATTAAACCGATATTGGCGTCATATTCTGACTAAATTCTGTAATAAAAATCGTCGTCCGGCCCCAGCGCTGCAGGAGGGATGATTACAGTTACAGACGATTATGGAAAATATTTTCTGTCATTTGTAAAAAAAATAAAATTTTAGAAAAAAAAAAAGCAAAAATGTATAATCAATTGATTAAAATGATATTTGGTAGGAAATAAGTCAGACTTTAATGTTTAACCTGCTCTCCAAACCAGAATCACACAAAGGACTTTAGGTCATTAAGTCAAGATGGCGGCCGGCAGCCTGGGTTTGACCCGAAGCCAGAGGTCATGTGATGCTGTGTGAAAGGTCAGAGCCGGGTCAGAACACAGAAAACGGCGCGTGTACAGACCTGCTTCCCCCGTCGTCCGGGTCGTGCAGCGTGGCTTCGATGCCGCTGTCCGTCTCCACGTCCTCGTGCATCTCGGGGGGAACCAGCGCCCCCGTGTCCTCGTCTGTGAACGTCTCGCACTCGCTGTAGGTGCTCTCTGAGCCCAGGTACGCGCTGTCCGTCACCTCGTTCTGCTGCAGAAAACACACCGCCACGTTTAGAGCTGAAGCCCGGCGCGGTTTGAAACCCAACAGAGAAACTAAGGAAATAAAGATTTACACTTTTTTACAATTAAAGAATCCTTCCAACCCTGGATCTGATCTTTAAATCGGCTCAAAAGTGACGAGCGATTCATCTACAAAGAAATAAAGTTTTTAATTAGGATGCATTTTATACAAGGCTGAAACGATTAATCGTGATTAATCGATAATTTAAATAAACTAATTTACTAATTAACTGTCAGCAAGAGGGTACAGCTCATATTCAGAGCAGTGCATAGACTAAAAAAATAAAAACATTTTGCTTTTAAAATAAAGAAAAACCCTGTAAGGTTAAAATAAGCAGCATATTACACACCGTTTGGTATCCAATTAGTAACTTAAAAAGAAAAACAGATCAGTCCTGCACCGTTTCGATGTCAAGTCAAGCAGAAACGACGGAGTTTAAATATCTTCAGCTGCAGATGAATCCTTTGCAACAAACGGTAAAGAATTCGCTAAAGAAACGCCGTCACTGACTTCTAGAATTTCTTAATTGAAAAAGGAACAGAGTTTGTTTATGTGCATCTTTTAAATTCATAGGATTGTATAAAAAAAGCTTATGTGGGGAAAAAAATTAAAAATCTGAAAAATGTGCATATTTTCTTAATTGATTAATCGTTGGAATAATTGATTAATCGATAACTGAAGTAATCTTTAGTTTGCAGCCCTGCATTTATTCAACAATCTGTATTTAATCAGCCAGACAACAGAGAAATAGGACAAGTAAAAACATTCCTCCCCACTTCTGCAGTTAAAACTCTCCTTCCTTTAATAAACTTTAATAAAATAAACTTAATTTTCACTCGGATTGTGAAGAAAAGCAAACAAACAGTGGATCCAGACAAGTTAAGCTCATAATCTCACCAACCATCAGCAAAGCTTAACACCTCGAAGCAACAGGTTCAAACAACAACATTAAGGCGACACCTTAACGAAAGCCAGCTAAACCACAACATACCAGCTTACTGGAGGCACTGGGAGCAGTGGGGCTCAGAGGGACGACCGCCATGTCCAGAATCATCCTGTCCACCCGGTTTGACCCACAGAGTCGTCATGAAACACCTTCAGTAACTCCTGCGCCTCCCGCCGTCAGCGTGGCACAGGCAGGATGTCAGAGAAGACAGATAACACGGCGACGCTCGGCTCAGCGCGGCCGACTGGGCCGAGGGGTGGAGACTGGAGCCGAGTCCAAAGAGCAGCTCGTCTGCCCTGCTGCCACTTCCTAACCCTCCGGCTCTAGAAATCATTAAGCCGCGATCCAGGACTAAAACAACGCTGCTTACGGTCCAAACAACAGGCCAGCTGTCAGGACCTGACGAGGCGCTCCTGCTACCAACACCCTCAGCTCGCCGTGTTTTCACAGCAAACAGCAGAACAGGTCAGCCATTGAGAGAGACGCCTTTCAGGCCAAATAAAAAAAACCAACAGGGAAAAAGCGAGGCGGCGGCGGACGCAGGTCAGGGCCAAACTTCTTCCAAACTCAGGCGACAGGTTTCAGCGAGCGCAGCAGCCGGAGCGTTTCCCCAGAAAAAAACTTCCCTCTGCGTTTCATTCCCAACATTTCCCAGCTGTAATAATCTGAACTGAAGAGTCTGCATCCATTTTTATTTTAGTGTTTGGGCTCTTTGTCATTTCTTATTTTAGGCCTGTCACAATAAGCAATAAATCAATTAAATCAAACTCAATTTCCATTTGCAACTTTTATCGTTTTTCTCTTTCTGCCAAAAACCAGATGATAAAAGTTTCACTCTGTTTGGTCTCAACTAGCCTTTTTTTTATTTGTCGTTTCCGTTTTATTTACTTTGGATACATGTTAAATGTTCACAAGGATTTTAAGTTAATTGATCTTTGAACTTAAATCTTTGAGAATGTGTTGCATTATGATGCCAATATTACCATTAAAACAATATCATCATTTATCGCGATAACTTCTCAGACAATTCATCGTCCAGGAGAAGTTGTTACCATGACGGTCCTACTTATTTTGTAATATCTCTAATATTGTAATGTTTGATGTGTGGACCTCCTGAAGAAGATGAACTTTTAATAGTAAAAGGACTGAAATGATTAAGCAGATTTATTCAACTGCAACTCAAAATGATCCCAGACGAGTCAGGAACATTTTGCAGAAGAGTTGTAGTTCAAGCCACGGCCAGCAGGGGGCACCGACACTGCAGCTCAGTAAAAAGGCCCAGAGCAGCAGAAACTGTCGGTCCTGCAGAGGCCAGCAGCAACGCAGGTTAAATATACAAAGTCCTGAACCCAAACGGAGGCAGGAATTCCAGAAATGTCGACCACAACTGGAAACACACTCACACAACTTCACACACACTCACACAACTTCACACACTGCTGCGCATTCCAGCCGGTCAATTTTCTGTCAAGGGAAACCCAACGCCTCGAGGGCCAGAAGCCAAACCCGCCAGGATGGTGGTGGGCCTGCGCAGCCGTCGGCACGGCAACGACGGCCGAGCACAGAGGGAGCTCAGGCTGTGGGTCCCTTCAAACAGGAAGTGGAAGGGGCCAACTAGTCCAAACAGGACGTGGAAGGGGCCAACTAGACCAAACAGGAAGTGGAAGGGGCCAACTAGTCCAAACAGGAAGTGGAAGGGACCAACTAGTCCAAACAGGAAGTGGAAGGGACCAACTAGTCCAAACAGGAAGTGGAAGGGACATCTCACCTCGTCGTACTCCTCTGGGCAGCCGCCGGCGCCGTCCCCCGGGTTGTAGCTGTAGAGCTGCGGTTCTGGACCTGCCAACAGAGCAGGGAGGTGGGTTGGTGTGCGCAGCAGCAACAGAAACAAACAGAAGCCGAGCAAACATGGAGGAGCGGCTGTTGATGTGCAAACAGGTAACATGAGGACAGAAGTCCTCTGTTTACACTGCAGAAACATTAACATGTTCTTCATCCTTTCATCAAGTTGACCTGAATTAGAGTTCAGCTAAACAGAAAAACAAGATGGCAGCCTGACATCACTGAACCATGAGAGCAAAAAAAAAAAAGATAAGGAAAAAAGGTTGAAAATCCAGATTTTCCAAAAAATGTAATCTTTATCAACAGAAAACCTTAATACTCGATCAAACTGATTTATCGCTCAGCAACCAACACAACCAGTAACAAAAAGCTGAAATGGGAAGATTTCATACAGCCACATGGTTGCATGAAATCAAGAGATATTCATGGGCTAGACTGGCCTAGTCAAAGTCTAAATCAGATTTTTACCAATAATATGTGGAAAGACTTGCGTTTTAATGTTCACAGATTTTTGATTGTGAAAATCTGAAAGAGAAACTCAGAAAAGGCTGCAACTGTTTAAGAAACTGCACTCCACACTTTTGAGATTTTAATTTATAACTTTGCACAACTTTCTGCTGCTTCATCAAGTTAAACGACAATAAAAACACAAAGGTTTGTGGTTGCAACGTGACAAAGAAGTTGAATTGGTGTGAATGTTTTTACAGCGCGCTGCAGCCCCAGATGTCCTGGTTGGGCAGATTTACAGTCAGCAGTTAGAGCGCGACGCGACGGTAAACATGACCTCCATCTGAGGCGAACCAGAGGCCAGCTGTGAGATCAGCAGAAACCTGCAGCAGCAGCCGAACCTGAGCCGCGTCCCATCAGCCACTGCGGCCAACGGCCCCTTACTGGGAGGAAACAACATGAACTGGTTCCAGTGGCGGCAACCATGCACACCTGCAGGACCTGGTCTGATGTCAAAGTGAGGATATTTAACGTTGCTCCAGACATTCCAGTCTCGGCGGGGAGCGAAGCATTTCCACGGCCCGGGGCAACACTTTCATCGAACAGCCTCCTTCACTTCACTGCTGCAAAAATCTAACAGTTTCCTAACATTTTCAAACTTTCCCAGCAGCAGATTCAGTTCATTTTTAATCACCAGTTCCAATATAATAGTTTTTTTTACCGTTAGTAGTTTACATCCTGCAGCTGGAACAAAAACTAAAAATGGTTCAATTTCACAATAATGTGTCCCTTGTGGGTGGCCAATAAATAGGTTAGATACGTTACCGCTTTATAAATCATTAATAACCGTTTATTATGCATTAGTTAACGAAGATGAGAATCAGTTTCTTACCAAATAATTTACATATTTTATCTAGAGTTATTCTACCTTGGAAACATATGAAGCATTTGTAAACGTAATTTTTTTAATCATATTTTCACCCTTAATGCATAGTAAGTAATTAATGATTTATAAACAGTGTAATAGTTAATAGCTGTTATCAATTCGTTGATGACGGGAGCCTTATTGTAAAGTGGAATCATAAAAATGAATAAAAAATGAATCTGAAGCCTCAGACTGAATCATTATTGGAAAAAAAACGAGTGTCTTCAGTCAGAGGCTTCTTCAAATGTGCTGGAATGCAGACTGCTACAGGAGAGGTTTCCTGCCCTCAGCCGTCACGAGGCATTAAACTCTAAGAGTTACAACATTTAATTACTTTTTGGGATCAATAAAGTATTTTTAAATTTGTAACATTTTACGTTTTGAAATGCACCCGACTGTCTAAGAACAAAACCACAATTTAAACAAAATCACTAAGAAATATAAGCCAACCTTTATTTCGACTGCACAGATCAATAAGTCATTGAGCCGTTAGGAATAATAAATATTCCTTAATAAAATGTTTCTTTTTTTTCCGCAAAGTGATTTTTAACCTCCCAAAAAACAAGAAAAGTTTAATTTGATTTATCAGACTGAGAAAAAAAATGTTTCAACTGTAAATAACGTTTTACAAATTTAGGATTTCAGTGAAGTGTTTTCATGGCTGTGAGGTCTGATTAAAGCTCTGCAGCGGTGGGAGCCACGTCAGGCTGGATCTGCAGGTTCTGGCTCCTTTTTCCCTTCATCCTGGACACAATGGCAGTAAAACGATCCAGGGGATCAGATGAGGTTTGATCCAGATAAAAATTAAACAGGTTTTTGTTAATCGGCCGTGTGGGAATCCTGAACCGAAACTCAACTCTAGTTTCACATTTTACAGGCCAAACCACTAATTTGACGTTGGACGTATTTTATGAGAATCTGTCATTAAATGGCCGTAAAGCCCAGCCGTGATTTTACAGCAGCAGCAGATGAACGGGTCAGAACCAGAAACCGGGCCGCGCAGGGAAAGCGGAGAGGAGGAGGGTGAATAATTGAAGCGAACAGGATGCCTTGTCCAAGCGCTCTGAAAGCCGGCCAATCAGACCACGTGTCTCCAAACATCCTGACTTATTCATGCCGTCAGTAACCAGAGACGCTCAACCCAGAAACAATCCTACAAATCAATGAGGGGTGGAGCTGAGAGGGGCAGCGTCATGCGGTGGGCCGGACGGCCATGTTCAACACAGCTCTGATTTGTTGTGTCCTATGGCTTTTGGTTCTGGATGCTGTGAAGCTGGAAGGATTTTTTTAGTCTTTTTCCATTGGACAGTTGTTATGAAACGTAACCATGGCAACAAGGTAACGTTTTTGGGACTGGGAGAAGCTCATCAGCATCTTAAATACCTGAAAACGAGGCTTCATGGATGCAGAGAGGAGGAGGAAACTCAAAGCTTCTCTTCCATCATCATAATGGAGGAGGATCTGGTCCCCATTGGAGATCAAAATTATAACGTTTGTTATAATCTGCTGCTGTTCTTTCACTGCACCGAGTCAAACAAACCGAACCCTGTTTGACTCAGTGAAACACCAAGAACCACTAAAGGAAACGCTGAGCACAGCTTCCTTCTTCACAAAATGTGAACAAAAATGGAGGCGTCAGATTTTAGCGGTTTGTCTTTGGTAAAAAAACCACCAACCATTTCTCCTGCCAATGCCAGGTTTGTTTGGTGGCATTTACCCAGAATGCCCTGCGCTGTAGTCCACTTCCTGCTTTTGGAGCGGTCTTCGGTCTGTTTGTGCATCCAAACTGAACCAGAGTTCACTTCAACCAAACCCAGACCGGAGTTTGTGGGACCAGAGTTCGATTTCATGTTCATCCGTCCCGACCGAACCGGACTTTCTAGACAAACGGACTGGAGCTGGAGTAAAGCGACCAAACAGAGCTGGTGTGAACGCTCCCTTAAAGAGGAGCGGCAAGAGCAAATGACATGGATTAGCAGAGCTCGCCTTCGTGGTAGTGAGGCCGATTTACAGTAACGGCCTTCAGCTTCTGCAGATTCAACAGCCGCCGACTTTATTTTGTTTACTGAACGTTTTGTACTCCATATAAAACTCTCAGGCCTTTATCAAGTTAACTGGATTAATATTTTGGGACTTTTATGAACATAAACAACATAAAGACGTAGGAGTAGGGGATAAGATCCTCGTTTATTATGATGGATGGAAGAAATTGTTTGAACTCTTGTTAGCTTCGGGGTCAAAGTTCAGGTAGTGTTTGAGTTTCTGAGATGCAACTCAGCTGCTTCTGGTTGTAAAAAAAAAAGCGCATTGCCATAGTTACACATCACACCAGCTGTCTGCCAGTAAAGCTGCACAGCATCCAGAACCAGAGGGAATAATTATCCAAACAGGCAACGACTCCATGAATTATAGATGAAAACCATCTGAGGAAGAGTTTATACATTCTAGACTTAATCTGGAACAACAAATTAAACCTCAGCCTGAGGAAACGAGACGCATCGACTCACCTCCATTACTGATCGCAGAGATTCCTCTGTGGAAATCTTCGAAACTGATGACGCCGAGACCGCTGGGGTCCAAAAACTTGGTCAGGTCCTTCACCTGAACGAGAGGAAAAAATAAAGATTCATTTTACTTTCAGCAAGGCAGCAGAAGAAACTCGACCATGATGTAATAAATGATGCAAGGGAAGGTTTTCCTGTCAGATCCAGTGAATGAATAACCGGCATTGTGACTTCAGTGAGAAACATTTATGATATAAAGAGTTCACTCCACATTATTTCACTGAGTCAGCAGCGTAATGTGATTATAGGGCAGAAAATGGCCAATAAAACGCTGCTGCCCTTCAGAAATAAAAATCTGCATTTGCAGATTTCAAGTGTTTAACTGTCCTGAATTGGGTGCAACAGTGGCTTCATAAAAGCTTTTTACGCACTACAAAGAGCAAAGTCTTTAAACTGAGAAAAACAGGCTGAAATTCAAAATGTTTGCAGAAAACCAGAGGTTAGGAGAAAGTTCCTGGAAGAAAAGCTGATTAAAAGCTGCCTGGTTTCACTCTCAGCATGGAGCGGTGCAGCGCAGGAGCTGCAGGAACGGGTTACATAAGCGCACCTACATGCTGCATCGCTCCGCCGGTTGCCTGGCAACCAGTCGCTCTGTACATGGAGCTGGAAATAAATCCCAACAGGAGCCAGCGGGGACCCGCTATCTGCCTTAAACAGACTCATGAACACAAGAACCAAATCTCTGGTCAGGATCCCGACCAAACTGGGTCCAAAATGTCCGACTTGAACTTCATCCCTTCCTCTCCTTCGCTCCCGATATCGGTTACAAATAAAAACAAGCTGATCGCCTTAGCAACGCTGAGCTGTGACTCAAGAGGCCAGAAAATCCCAACAGAGTAACTGACAAGCCGGAGAGATTACGGTCTGGGTCCGATGTTTCGGCAGGAAAACCCAAGAACTTTTCAACAAGTTTTCAAACTTTTCCAAAACCACACTTTGGAAATAAACAAAAAAAAACAAAGACAGTGCTGACAGCCATCTTGGTAGGTATCCGTAACCAACCGTCATGGCAGCTGCTATGGCAACAGCTTAGAAGCAGCTCTCGCCTCGGTTCTCTCCAACTTGAGCAATAAAATTAAGTTATAGCCATTAAGCCTGGAGTTTATTTTCCATATACTTTATTTTTGTTGGTTGATCTTCGCTTTGTGCTGCGCTTGCCTACCAAGATGGCGGATCTGGGCTCGAACCACATCCAGTTCAGACCAGTTAAACGTATAACAAGACGATAAATCACTGATCAATAAATTTTACAATGAAACATTTCAAGCAAATCCTGTTGAGGTGAATTACCTTCCTGCTCAAATTAAATACTTAAACACAAAGTTTTCTGGCATTTAGAAAAAAATAATTTCGGTAATTTTAACTGATCTAAAACAAGTTTATTCTGATTTAACTCCAGACAAGAGAATAAAAACTGTATGTTACAGTTTATGTTATTTCTACTGTAAAGTTTTCCACATTTAGGCTTTTAATCAAACGTTAGGATTCACTTCACAGCAAAACTCTGCAGTCTGAATATCAAGCACTTTCAAGGACTTTATACAGAAACCAAGCACTTTCCAAACCTTGATGTTTCTTGAATTCAGTGAAATTCAAAAATGTAAGGATTTTATCAGGTAAGCGACAGGAAGTGACCCGGTGTTTGGTTCTGTAAACATCGTGCTCCTTCCTGCAGGAAACCCTCACTGAGGTTTTGTCTGGGCTGAACCCGACGATGGAAACGCTCGCCTGAGGTCACTGGGAACGTGCTTAGCGTCTAGCTTTCAGTTTCTCGCCGCACGGCGATGAGTCATGATGTTCCGATCCAGAAACGCCTCGGCTGCGAGAACACGGCCAGCTCCTGACTTCATTTAATAATCTGTTAACGGCTCAACAACCGTTTTCCTTTCACAACCACAGGATGCTAAACAGAGCAGGCATGAAGCCGGCCTCCATCAGAGTTATTAAGAGACGCAGCAGCAGCTGCAGCAGCGGCTGCAGCAGCTGCAGCAGGTCCCAGTAGAGCAGAGTTTAATCTACATCTGGGCTGAAACTAAAGGTCAGCAGAACCACAGATAAACTGGGTCAAATATTTATAACTGAAATCCTTTTTCTTCATCTAGCTTCCTTTAAACCAATTTTGTCATTTGATTAATTTGACTCATTTTATTCTCCATTTAAAAGTACAATAAAACTATTTGCCCAAAACAGAGAAAATAATTGCAAAATTGAAAGATTTCATCATCATAGAAATGCACACCAAAAGAAAAATCCACAAATATTGTCAATAGTTTTATGTGATGCCAACTCCCACCTGTAGGCGGCAGTATTTCCTTTGTGGAAATTCACAAAAAAGGCATAATTGCGTTCATTACAAATTTTCCTACAAAAATGATCAAAAACATCAGATGTAAGTGATGCTAATTCCACTAGCATTCCTTACTGATGAAACGTCAACAGGTCACATTTCCAAAGAGATTTATGACGTTCTGTGAACGATCACTGGAAAGCTGAACGGCTAAAGCAGCACTTTGCACCAATCTGATGGTTAAATAACCTAAATTACAGGTTAAAAGCTATAAATATATTTGTAGTTGAGCTCAGATGTTTTTTTTATTCAGTTTAGTTGCAAAACTTGTTTTTGAACTGAAAATGTTTCTTATTTTGTCAATAAATTACAGAGTCTGCAAATAAACTGGATTAAAAATGTAATCCAGTCCCACCACTGGTTATTTTTGGTTCATGTTGCACCGTGAGAACCGCATGGCAGCTCGTTCCTGAATTACACGTTCGATTCTGCTGAACTCGGATGCAGCAGCGGGTTCTGCTGGGGAGAGGAGCAGCACAGCATCGTGGTTTTTCTGTTTCCTCTATTTGTGTGCGATGGGTGGCGGGGCGCGCCCGAGCGCCGCGGCTCAGACCGCCGCTGTGCGTGACCTCACCCAGACGAGCAACCTGAGGCGACGGGCTTCCACCGCGGGGATTTCTCTGACAAGATGGAGAAAACCACCAGCAGGTCGGAACAAAAGCAGCAGCGACAACCTTAAACTTTTCCAGGGGAGGAATTTAAAAACAAACAACGACGGCGGTTTGAGACGGCGGGACATTCCCCTGTGGATTAGCGGTGGAAGAGTCAAAGGGAGACACGGCCGCAGCTTTTGTGAGGAACTGGGGTCAAACCCTGGGAGAGACCCGAGGATAGAAAGGTTTCTTCAGCAGAAAAACTCACCAATAAGATGTGAGCTGCAGGATTTTCTCCCCTGGAGGCAAAGCTTTCATCAGCAGGTCATCACGCACAATGATGAGGTCACAAAAAAAAAAAAAACTGTTTTCTCTAAACTGCATTTTACTTCACATTCAGAGCAGAAAATACTGAACGTCCTGAGATAGCAGTAAAAAAAAGTTCAAACTGAAGCACAAGTTTTACTGCTGGAGGCCTAAGATGGTCAGTTTTGCTGGACGGTAAATTGTCCCAGAAATTATAAAGTTGTGTTTGAGACCATTTTAAAGTGATATAATGATAATGTCATAACAACATGATGCATAAAAAACCTTTAAATTCTAATGAAGAGCCAACACTGGAACTGGAAGACAAAATTAATTATAAAGAAATAACTAATAAAAAAAACACACCAAACTGGAGACTTGCCCAGTTTTTGGTAGAAAGAGCAAAAAGAAAAAAATTATGAAATTAATTGGTTTATTTCAACAGGCCTAATCATGCGTCTTTGGGAAAAGCCCAACATGTTGCACCATGAGGATCTAATCCAGACCAAATGACAGTAAAGTGTGTGAGCATAAATATATCTGCCATCTTTGTAACATCCTGAGCCTCATTTGCATGTTTGGCCTAAAAGGACCAACTGGAATTTATGCAAATACCAGATGAATGTTTCCCTGCAGCCTGGCGGCTTCCTGGGAAATTTGCAAAGATAGTCAAATCCAAACCCGTTTCCAGCTTATAACAGAACAATCCAACTCCTGGGCAGGAAGACGGGCGTCATCATCGCCGTCATCTTTAATTTTAACCTGAACAGGGAAACCTGACAGTCACGTCTCGGTCTGGATGGTTTTTCACTCGTTTCTGGTCCTGTGATTTTCCAGACCGCGTGCTGAAATGGTTCTGTTAGCGCCACTGTCCAAACCATCACTTTGTGGATTGGACTCGCTCAGGCGTGCATGATATTCAAAACGGTTATCACCAGATTACTGCTGTGCAAGGACAGACGAGGGCAGAGCCCCGTCAGACATGGAGGCCGTGTCAACACGTATCCCAGCTGATAGGAGGGGAGCGAAGCGTTCGCTTCACGCAGCAAAAAGATGCAATCACTGCGTGTGCAAAGTGCCAGCCTGGTCGGATCAGCGCCGACACGCTGATGTGACCTGCACCAGAGCAAGACTACAGATTTTCAAGTCTGTCTACACTTTAAATGGGAAAATAAATAAAAAATTAAATGTGAAGCAAAATCCGTCACATGCGGAAATAAGAACTTAAATTGGTAGAAATGTTCCCAGGGACTTGATTATTTTGAAAAATAACTTAGTTACTGAGTAACTGAAGATGGCAGCCATCATGTTTGTCAAAGATTTAATATTTACCACAAATTAATGCTTTTGGTATCAAATCATATATAATTGGACCTGTAGAAATCATATTTACCGATAATGTTTAGATCTTTCAAGATGGCCACTGTGGTCATCATGGAAAGTGAATTTCTGAACTAAAATCACAAATTATACGAATCCGTTTGGCGTCAATCATAGCTACATATTCTGAACCAAAGAAATTATTTTCTTGATCCTGCGTTAACTTTTTCTGGCAGACATTTTTCAAAATGGCCACCACGATTTTAATGGAGAATACATGTTGTGCTAAAATAGGCAGTAGCTAATGTTAGCGCCATTAACCACTAACTCATAAGGGAAGAATCTTAGTTATGCTAAAGCTAAACCACTGAAAACTAAATTAGCAGAAGGTAACCATAAACAGCTAAACAATTACAAGCTAATCTGCTAAATACATAAAATGACAAAAGCTAATGCTAAAATCCTAAACGTATAATTATCAGAAGCCAACACTAAACATGTAAATATATTTGCAGAAAGTAACGCTACACAAAATATTAGAAGTTAATATCAAACCGCTGAGCTTGTTTGATGTACTTCAGTGCTTGATTTCTGTAAAGCGCTACAAATAAAATGTAAATATAAAAAGGCTAAAGCTAATGCTAACCATTAAGACGACTGTACCTCAGTCTGTCACATGATCTCCTCCAGTTGAGGCCTGATGTGGGACTGAAACAGCAGAGTCCTCAGTTTCAGTACATATCTTTTTAAAATTGTATAAATAAAACAGTCGAAAACACTGAACTTGATGGTGTAACATCAAGTTCATGCAAGTCATGAAAATTAGTAACATTTTAAGGGTGTAAAAGGGCGTTGGAAAATGGCCGTCATACCGACATTCAAGTGGCTAAGGGGAAATACGGAAAAATCAGCCCTTCAAAATAAAGTTTTCAGCTGGTGGACAGTCTGACTCATGAGAAAACATTTCAGTCCTAATCCTTCACATTTCTAACCGGGGAGCCAGACGTGTGCCCAGCGGGGGCCACAGCAGGGGCTTCGACCGAGAGAAGAGGGATTCAAAAGATTTAGCAGCGCGACCAAACTGGGTTCAACATCAACAAGGTGAGGCCTGTTCAAAACGGACCAGAGAGTCTGAAGCACCAGCTGCAGCTCAGCCAGTGATGCCAGGCTAACAACACACTCTTCAGTAAGGACACCGTTACTGAGCGTTTGATTTTAATCCCTTTCAGCCATGGAAGATGCTGTTAGCAACCGTTAGCTGAGCTCAACACAGACTGTCGATGCCAAACATCATCATAAAGATGCTAAAGGAGGGCTGGGCAATACTCAATAATATATATAGACATGCAATCAATATCAGTAGATAACACATTTGATTGAATATTCAATAACCACACAGCATTCTGGGAGATGTAGGCAGAGGAAAAGCTTTAGCTGCTCAACCTCTCACAGCTAGCTAGCTAGCTAGGCTGGTGGAATCAACTCGCTGTCTTTGGTTGCCTAGCAACAACCTGCTGTAACGAGCAGAGGCAGTTTAAGATTTCACCACTGAGCCTCATAACTGCTTAAAAATACGGAGTAAAAACAGGAAATGCCATATATATATATATATATATATATATATATACACACACACACTAAATAATTGATAGACTTGTATGGCAGTCATATGTTATTCAGCCCTATGCTAATGTTAGTTTCACATGTCAACTACGTAACTGATTTACAATGTCTGCCATCACACAGCAGCCCATGCTAATATAACCAACCACTCTAAAAAATATTTTAAATGCTGTCCTAATAGTATATTATAGGACAGGAAAAAACTTTTCCCAAAGCTTTTTGGTAAACGCTTCATCATATATTTAAAGTTTAACACTTACTATAAAACAAGAAAGTGAGTGAATTTGGGCCTCTTGACTGAAGCCACATAAACAAGCAGATTGGAAAATTAAACTAAAAACCATTTCCTTCAGTTCGGCAGATTCTTGCATGTGAAATCAATCTCATCCACAAAAAGTCAGAAAATGAGCCACTGTCCAGGTTTAGACAAATACCCAAATGTTCAAAACAACTTTGTATCGTTTCAGTTACTACTCTGAATGCCGCTTTTCCCCAGCAAAAGGCCTGAGTCTGTATACGTCAGTTAATAATCACTAAATTAGTCGATTAATCATGATGAATCCAATTAATCGTTTCAGAAGTGTATATTTGATTGAGCAACAGCCTAAAACCCAGACAGGAACTGGTGATGTTTTTAAGTTAAACAGCCTTCCTGCAGTCGGACTCAGAATCAATAATAAATGGATCTGCGGATCATTTTACTCGGCGCTTCGCTCCGATCAGAGGCGGCTCCTGGACAGAGAAACGGCCATCTCACCTGATCTGCCCCGTACGCCGCCGCAAACTCCAAAAACTCCTCGACACGGACGAACCCATCTCCGTCTTGGTCCAAGGCGTCGAACACCGCTTTCAGAGAAGACGCGTCGTCTTGTCTGGCGTTTGCCGCCGGAGGAGGAGGAGGAAGGTTTAAATCAAAAGACGCCACCTGATGCTGCCTCTCCTCTGAACCACCATCATCATCGTCATGAACCTCCTCAGCAGTCAAACACAGATCCAGAGCCATTTCCTCCTGGTTTGATCGCGTTTTAGCAGCGAAACTGCTTCGGTCTTCCATCAAATCCACAGAGTCTTCATCGTTTTCACTCCTCTCCTCTGAAGGAACATGGCCGATTACAGCAGACTGAGCCTCATTTTTTGGTACAACAGAAGCAGGACTGTCAAAATCCAACAAAAGCGGCGAATGGCAGCTCTCAGCAGAGCTGCTGGTTAAAGGCAGATCAGTCACTTGATCAGGGAATAAACCTTTGTCTCCGGTTTCAGGTGACAAAGTCTGAGAGGGAGGGAGCGCTGCCTGCTCCTCTGCAGCAATCTGAGCGGTTAACCGGGTGGGCGAGTCCTGGGTGACCCCAGAGAGGTCAACCAGCAGAAACGGCTCTCCAGAGTTCCTCCTGGAGATGTTAAAAGGAGAGCCGAGGCTTATTAGGTCGCCCTGATCAGCAACGGCGTTGGATTCCTCATGGAAATCAGCTTTTAAAGTCAACTCCTTCCCCATCACATCAGTCAGAGTTGGAGAGAAGAACCACGACAAAGTGCTGTCGCTGATTTCCTCAAAACTTTCAGTTAAAGTCAATCCTTGCAGATAGGCGCTGGCTTGTTTTCCTTCCAGCTGCAGATCCTCACAGGAAAAAGCCGAAACTGTGATGAGGTCCTCCAGGGCTACCGGCTTTTCCACACTTTTCTGAGGCGTTGCATCATCATAGTCACCTTTCCTGAAGTCCAAACCAGTCTGACCATTACTGCTGGGACTCAGAACACCTCCGCTGTCTGGATCCACTGGTTGAAATCCCAGCGGAAATGGTTGCTCTGGCTCCCACTGAGCATGCCCCAAAGGGCCAGAAACCACTGTAGGCTCCATCTACACAACCTCTATGTTAGGAAGCAGCTTCTCAAATTCACTGCCATGTTTTTAATGGTTGAAACTTTTAATTTCCAGTGAATAAAAGTCAAAATATCAGTTCCGTTTAATTAAAACAAAAAACAAACCCACACTTCTAAACCGTTACCTTAACACATAAGACATGTTTTCACTCACAGCCTGGTTTTCTGTCATGGTTGCTGAGCCAGAAAACATCCAACATCAGCACCGCTTCCTTCCCTCACGGCCTGCGAGCCGAAACCAGCACCAACGGCTGGACCTCAAACGGTAATTAGCGCTACTCAAAGCCGAAACGAGCTCCAGCTGTTGGGGCTGTTAAGCCCCGGATCCGCCGTGTTTATGCCGGACAACTGGCTCTAACTCCTCCTTCGAGCATCTACCTTCTCCGCGGCCATTGGTCGAGGCGGCTGCTAGCCGACTAGCTACACAAATTAGCCCACTAGCCTGCTAACAGGTTAACATTTTAGCCCTGATTAACGAAAATGGTCAGTATTTCGTTCTTGGAGCTTATAATTCAACGCTATGTCTTCATTTCCTTTCGTTTCCTTCTTTTAAACCTCCCCTCCCCGCTCTGTCCACCTGTGTCAGCCGAGACAGGCCAGGAGAAGAGAGGAGTGACGAGTCCAAACCGTTATTTCCTCCTCGGATCCGGCGTCGTTCTCCGGATCAGCGACTCTCCTTCTCCAGAAAAATAAAACTAAGGTGTTCAAATGAGATCAAGTAGATCCATGATGCGAGGTTCTGTCCACCGACGTTGATCACAGACAGAGAAAGCTCTCGCATCAGCATCAGCAGTGTCCCATCCTCCTCCTCCGCCTCCTCCAGCCGCATTCACTCAGCGATGACGTCAGACGCACGCGTAGAAAATACCCCGCAGTGTGAGGCTCCATAGCAGCTTTCCACCGGAAGTTATTTACAAAACATAACACCGATGTACAATGGAAACCGCATATTTACATTCAGTGTTTATAAAAAAAATTCATATAACATTTCCCGCTCACTGGAAGACTTTAAACCGCATTAAACCGTTTGTTCTGTTTTAGGTCGGCTAGGGCAGGGGTGATACCAAGTGGGGACCCGAGGGGGCCATGACACCCTCTCCAAATATGAGCACCCCTAAGAATCATGTTTAGATCATAGAAAGGCATACGGACGCATCTTCTTCCAAAACTAAAAAAAAAAAATCTTTTCAAATAAAACCAATTATATGCACTGTAATACAGTCGGCTACAAGAGATCTCTCATGCGTTCATGCATCTTTCATTATTCAAATTTCTGAGTTTGAGTTGAAAATTTCACAGAAAAAACTTCAAATGTTGGAAATTTTGACTTTTGAAACTCGAGAATTTCCCTTTTTTTCTAGAAAATTTCTGAGATTAGTCAAAAAATTTTCTAGCAAATTTCCAACTTTTGTGGCTCAGAAAATGTTTTTACCATAAATGTTTTTTTTGTTTGTTTTTTTTTAGCAGATATTTACTAAAATTTCTGATAAGAAAGTAATGAAATAAGAAATTTACTTTAAGGTGATTTTTAATACATCTTCAATGTCCCTAATACACACTCATAAACACACACACACACACACACACACACACACACACACACATTCATAAGTTTTTGCTTTCTATCTATGCTGCCTTAAACTTAAAACCCTACTGGCCAGACCTTTGAAAATTTGCTGGGTACGCCACTGAGTCAATATAATCATAACCAGATTATTGTTCATGACTTTCTTCAAAGCCAATAGCTTATTTACAATAAGATAAAAAAATAAAAACAGGGCAATATTTCATCGTTTCATAATGAGCCACTGAGCTGCTTATAGATGTATTTACAGCATTCTGGCGCCCCCTTCTGACTGTCAGCAGAACTGCATCACATTAAAACTGAATCACATTTTAAACCATTTTAATTTAATTCCAGCTTTAAACTATTTCATAGATACCGGTGTTTTTTTTTTTTTATTTACCAGTTTCAAAAAAGTGATTTGTAATAAGTTTCAGTTTATACCCAACAATCTGAAGAGACTGGAGACAAGGCAAGTTGTCATAGCAACAACTGAATAGAAAGATTTTTATTACTGAGTGAATCAAAGGAAATGTTTTACAGTACTGACTACTGGGTTGTTACTTTACATACAACGGCGTATTTGGGTAGACAGAAAAAAGAGGAGTACATTTCTGCCAAAACACTGAAAGATTTCAAGACTTCTAAGATTTTTTGAAAAGTAGAAAACAACTTTTGCAATTTTAGATCAATCCAAGGATTTATTTTTCAGTTTTCTATGTTTCTTTCCAGCAAATTTTTGACTTTTAAAACTCAGAAATTTTTAGAGTAAGCTCAGAAATGTTCTAAAAATAAAAATAATAAAAAAAGAACTATGAAATTTCTGAGTTTAAAAAGCAGCAAATATTTAAAATTTGAAACTCAAAAATTTTTCAGGACTCACAAATTTTCAACGTTTAAATTTCCAGAATATTTCTGAAATTAATCTCAGAATTTCAGTTTTTTTCTCTAATATTTTCTAGAAAATGCCTGAGATTAATCTAAAAACTTCAGATTTTCTTTGCAAATTTTTGACATTTCAAAATTGAAAACTAAAAAATTTTAAAATAATTTGTGAGTTTTTTCTATAAAATCTCTAAGATTTTTTTCTAGCAATTATTTTCACTTTTTGAAGTCGGAAATGTCAGAGGTTTTTCAAGAAAATTTCAGAAATTGATATCAAAATGTTTGAGATGTTTTAAAGCAAATTTTCAATTCTGAAACTCAGAATATTTTTTTAAGAAGTATCTCACATTTTTTGGCTGAAATGTATTCATTTTTTAATCCTAATGCACAGTCATAATTCCTTATAAACGATACGAACATAATTTATTTGTGTTCTTCTCTACTAGAAACCTAAAGCAGCAAAATGCATAATAAACATCAAACACTGTCCACAAGTTGCATTTTCTTTCTTTAGAAAGGTCCTGATTTCTCCTGATTACTTGTCCTTCCTCTTTTCTGGCGACCAGTAACCTGAAGGAACGAAATGAATATAATTAAAAGATGTTCGTTTTTCTGTTTGGACAGAATCAGAACCGTTCTCCGTAGGAGCGTTTCTCCAGAAGCTGCACCTCCTCCTACACACCTGGTCAGGAGGAGGACTCACAGCTTAGCGCGTTTAGAGGCGGCTATACCCAGCAGCGCCGAGACGTCGTTGGGCGAGGTCAGCCACGCCCCGCCGTCCGCCACCAAGATGGCGCCCGTCACGTAGGAAGACGCTCGGCTGGCCAGGAAGAGAGCGCAGTGGGCCATCTCCGTCTTGTTGCCGGCTCGCTGCACAGGAACGCCCTGGAACGAACCCGCGGCCTCGGCAGCGGGACCGCCTGGGAAACAACGGAAAGCAAGTCAGGCATGTTTTCTATGACGGAGTCTCTGATGGGGAAAAAAGGAGAACATTTCTGCTAAAAAATCTTAAAAATTCTGAAACTTTTAGATTAATTTGAAATTTTTCTTTTAGGAAAAACTAAGACAAACATTTGCTTGACAATACGTTTACATTTTTAGATTAATCTCAGAACAATTCTGGAAAAAACAAGAAGATTTCTGATCTCCAAAAGTCAAAGATTTGCACAAAAAGACTCAAATGTTTCTGTGCTACAAAATTAGAAAATTTATACGAAAAAACATCTGAAACATTGAAAGTAATTTTAGAAACGTTCTAAACAAAATTTTCCAAAAGTCACAAATTTTTGACTTTTGAATTTCTGAGTTTCACAAGTTGGAAATTTCAGCTGAATAACAGATTAAAAACAATAAATATCTGTTGCTGAGCTCATATGTCTAATTACTTAATAATTTAGCAGCAAAAATGGGTTTTAAATTGAAAATGTTGCTCATTTTGTCCATAAATGGGCTAATGATTAAAATTGCCATTAACTAAAATCTTTATTGAGTCCTACCACTAATCTAATGGGTTAAATGTTTACCGAGTTTGCGGTAACCCTCGGTACCAGAGATCGGACCGGGGGCCACGGCATTGACCCGCACTCCGCTGGGCCCCCACTCCACCGCCAGGTGCTTCGTCATAGCATCTAAAACACAGCAGCAGCAGCTTCCTGTCATTTATTTATTCATCACATTAAAACAGGAAATAAAAGCAGGAATGCTCCCACCGTTTGCTGCCTTGGCAGAGCCAGCGTGGACCTGCAGGGCCTGGCCTCGGTATGCCAGCGTGGCAGAGACGTTCACCACGTTGCCGCCATGATCCTGGGAAAGAAGCCGCACTTGTTAGCATTAGCATTAGGAGGATAATTGACTGCAAAACATTTAGCAAACCTACTGCCCTTTTTTAGCAGCTAAAATAGTCAAATTTACATGTTACTGTCCCTTTAAAAGATGCAAGTAATTCAGTTACAACACTTCCTGTTGTCATCTTTGTCGTTTCTGCCAGTAGTAACACTTAGTTGTTGATCATGTGACTCATATGATGCAGAAAAAAAAGTATTTCCATTGCAGTTTTGTGAAATAAACCAATTGCAAAACAAAATACGTCAAAACTTTCTATAGAAAAACAAGTTATTTTTATTTGCATGTTTCCATTAAACAAATTTGTTTCTAAATTTAAAATTGTGCAGTTATATGATGAATGGAAAAGTAGTTGCTTTTCCTGTTTTAGCTTCGTTAGAATTAACAAAATTATTTATATTTGCTAAATGCCAGATATATTGGGAAAAACATTGTTTTCAGAAATGTTTTGCAACCGTCTTTGAATTCAGAAGTTTACATGCGTTTGGTCAGCATCAGGGTCTTTAAAACTGGATCCTAGTCAAAATGTCAAAATGTTCACTTCCTTTCTAATAATGGCAGATATTTTTTCATTGATTTAAAGTAAAATGTTGCAGATTAAAGCACATTTTGAAGCATAAAAATGTTTTTGTGAAAACAACCCAGATGGAGCCCCGTACCTTGAACCATTTCTCGTAAACCACCTTGCTGGTGTTGAAGGTTCCCATGGTGTCGATCTCCAGGACGGTTTTGAAAGCGTTGAAGGAGAGAGCAGAGGCAGGACACAGGAAGTTCCCAGCAGCATCTGCGTTAAGATTTTTTTTTTACTGTTTCTAAAGAGGGATTTATGTATGGAGGACCACAACTGACATAATGAAAAATGAAAGCAGAAATAAATATACATTTTGTTTTTCCTTATATACATTTCTTGGTGAAAAGAAATGTGTGTGGAAAAGAAAAAATTAAATATATATACTTCTGCTTTTATTTGTAATAATGTCAGTTTCTGTCCTCTATATCAACTTAAATATTCTCCATGGGTGATCAGAAGATCCTGGAATATTGGAAAACTGAACTTTGCACCAATCTGATGGATGAATAACAGATTAAAAACAATAAACATTTTTTTGTTGAGTTCATGTGTATTTATTTAATAATTTAGCAAAAAGGGTGTTTTGAAATGAGAATGTTGCTTATTTTATTGATATAATTTAAAAGAGTACTGAGAGAAAATGAACATTCAGTTGAATAACTCTGCTGCATTTCATTAAAATTGTATCACTTTGGGGGGAATTCAGGCGAACAGAAACGCGATGCGGGATAAATCACGTACTGTTGATCAGGATGTCTAAACGGCCAAACTCCTTCAGCGTCTCGTCCACAGCGGCTGCGATGCTATCAGGCTGCCTCACGTCGATCCGCAGAGGGAGGCAGCGTCGCCCTGAAGCAGCCGACAGCTTCACCGCTGCCTAGAAAACATCTTCATGAAGTCGACACAGAGCTATGGCACATAGATAACACTCAACCAGAACTGGGCAAATGATTAGAAAACCTCTTTCAGCTTGTCCAGGTTCCTGCTAGCGATCACCGTGTCACAACCATGTCTGAAAAAGAAAGACAATAAATAATTATTGAACTGAGAACATGATGCAATGTAAGGAGGAGGGGGAGGCTCCTCCCACAATTCAAAAACTGTTAATCAGTGGTGAGAACTACTAGCTAAAAAGCTTCAGGTGCAGCTACGCCCAAAGAACCAATAACAAACAGTTTCACTAAAATCCAACACACCACACCAACATGTTATTTAGCATAAAGTAATGCTACAGCACCACAATACCATGGTATTTAGCAGAAGCTAAGCTAAAGTGCTATATCAACAAAATATTTTACAAAAACTACCAACTCACCATCGCTAGCAGGCATTGCTAGCTAAAATGTTAGCTGCACTAACTCTAAATAATTAAACAATAGTTACGCTAATGTGAAAGTCTATAATAGCATGATATTTATTTGAAGACGGTGCTAAAGTGCTACACCACCATTGTATTTAGCAGAATCTAATGCTAAATCACTAAATTCAACAATGGTGTTTACACCCAACATTAGTGGGCAATGCTAACTACAAATAAAGTTAGCTGTGCTAACCCTAAAGCACCAATCATTAGCTCCACTAAAGCTAAAGCGCTACACCACTATTTTATTCAGTGGAAGCTAATGCTAAAGTGCTAATTTCAACAATGTTTATTCCCATCATCACTAGCGGGCAGCGTTAACTAAAGCACCAATCACAAACATTAGTTCCACTAGTGCCAATGTGCTAAAATAATAATAATAATAATAATAATAATAATAATAATAATATATCTAGCTTTTTAATTTTTTTTGTTCCCGGCCTTTATTAACATCAGATTAAAACAAAAATCAGTAAACAGACAGGAAATCCTTCACCTCATGAAGATCTCAGCGATACGAAGTCCGATTCCAGATCCGCCTCCAGTGATGAAAGCAACTTGATCTCTAAAACAAAACAAAACATTACATCTCTTTTCAGCAGTGAAACGAAAATGCAGCATTTATCCAAGAAATCACAAGTATAGATATAAACAAATAAATATTTGATGCTTACTTTAGTAAATCTGGGCTGTAGATGTGTGTGTATGAAGCCAAGCAGTCGTCTGAATCAACATCTTCAGGAAGCTCTTCTCTTCTGTGTTCTGCCATACTGATGAAAAACCCCAGAAGGAATCAGGTCACCGTATTAGACCTGTAACCAGTTTATAATGTATGGAGGGTGTCAGATGGAAACACACAGCAAACTGTGAAAGGGGAGGAAAACACGCATGATTCAAACTCCAAAATACACAAGAACAAATTTTAAAAAGTTACGCAAAAAGCTAAAACAGCATTTTGAAGCTCTGCAAAGTCCTCCAGACCACTAGGGGGAGTCGATCACCAAATCCTACGATACCAGAAAGAGGAAAGATGGGATGAGAAGAAAGACGGAAGAAAGAAAAAGTGTGTTATACTTCGTGTTTTTACAAAATTATAGAATTCCAGCATATTTGGGTGCGTTCACACTGCAGCCTGAAGTGACTCAATTCAGATTTTTTTGCCGGGGCCGTTCACACTGCCAGTAAATGCAACCTGTATGCGTTCTGCAGTGTGAACGGGCAAACGACCTGAAAGTGTCCCGCATGCGCAGTAGAGGGCGCCATAGCGTCAGCGTTCTCAGTGTTCTGCCAACCGCCATAAAAAGAAGAAGTGCTCAGTGTTTGCGGAAGTAAACATGGAGGCTAACGGTGGAGCTTAGCTTACACATTTGAAGTTGTTGTCCAACCGGAGCAGCATATTAACAACTTAATCCTCATATAATCCGTCATGGTTGTTGTTTTTCTTCCCACTTGCGCGTATCAGGATGCAGTATAGTGAGATTTGTTGAGAATCAGTGACGTTCAGTTCGGATGAATGCGGCCTGGACGTCATGGTCGCATTTGAATCGGATACGTATCGGATATGGGTCACATTCGGAAAAGAATCCGACCTGTGCTGTTCACACTGCCATGAAAAGATCGGATACAGGTCACATTACGTCAAAAAAATCGGAATTGAGTCACTTCAGGCTGCAGTGTAAACGCACCCTTTGAGTATTTTCTGACTTCAGACTCCCCCTAGTGGTCTGGAGGACTTCCGCTTTGTGGAGCAAGCTTCCAGTATTTCATACTTGCTGTTGTTTTCTTTATGAAAATCTAAAGATAGAGAAAAAAAAATAATGAATCCATTTTCTTCCTATTCACAATTACGCACAACTTTTCCTGAAGTCCAGAGAATTTTCTGCAACAAAATGTGAAAGAGGTGTGAATACTTTTCCAAAGCTTTGCAAGTCCCTGCTGCTGTGTTCGGGTTTCCAGTACATCCCAGTTTGAGTTTAAAAGGATCAAACTGGGAAGCAAAGAAACACTTAATGTTGTTTATTTTTACTAAATTCTGGCCTCAAAGTCAAACATTTCTCTAGTTTTGTTACAGACATCTCTATAAAATGTAAACTTAAACTTAAGTGAATTTAACAGCTTTTAACTCACTCTGTTCACTTCGGTCCAGTTAAAGTCGTTTCTGTCGGTTCTGTTGCTGCAAGAAATGAGCTGGTTCCGGTTCTGATTCTGGTTCTGTTCAGCGTGACTGAAGAAAAACAAACTAAAACCCAGATTTGTCACAGAGAACTTCTTCAGATCGGTTCCTCAGGCTCTGCAGGAGGACAACATGGACCTTGGACGTTGAACGCTGTCGCCGCAATTCCACTGATGCATTCTGGGTAATGAAGTCTTTTCCTGTAATTGTCTATTTCCGTTCATAAAAGTCTCATTATTACGACAGAGTATTAAATCTATCCTTAAACACACACACACACACACACACACACACACACACACACACACACACACACACACATATATATATATTCTTGTAATATGTTATGGGGCATATAGGAAAAAAAGTTGTAGATTTCTACCAAAAAAGTCTAGATTAATCAGAAATTTGCTAGACAAAACTTGAAAATTTATGAGTTTGAAGAATCTAAAATTTGATAATAAAAACTCAGAAATGTTCTAGAAAAAAGTGAATTTCTGACCTCTGAACGTCAAAAATATGCTAGAAAAAGAAATCGAGATTAATTTCAGAAATTTTCTAGAAAATATTTTATTTTCTGAGCTGGAAAAAAAAATTGACTTTTGAGACTCAGAAATGGCTGTTTCTTCGAGCAAAATTTCAACTTTTCCATCTCAGAAATATCTAAGATTCTTCTTCATAAAACTCTGATTAGTTTTTTGCGAAAATCTTTTTTTCTATCTGCAAAATCCCTGACACTGCGTCATATATTGATTTTTTAAAAGTCAGAATTAAAATATATTTTACTGAAGCTCTGAGACGATTTGACTCTGGACTGAAAACCAGTGACTTTTTCTTTCATTTGCACTATCAGCTTCTCTGTCAGCACCGGAGAGTTTCTCCTCCGGGAGTTTCCGCAACAACAAAAAGATCCGTGAAACGGAAACCGAGGATAATTTGCTCTCTGATGTGTCTGAGAGCATCAGCAAGATGAGGAGTTCCCTAACTGGATTTGCTGCGTTTAAACGCGTCCATATGGAGCTAAACTGGTGCTATAAAGTTTGTTCAAAAGAAAAATATCTTTAAAATGGAACAAAAAATATTTGAAACTGAAAGATTTTGAAACTGAAAAGAATGTTTAAAAGATAATTTAAAAAATATTTGAAGCTGAAAAAGAAAATTAAACTGGAAAATTATTTTGAAATTGAAAAAAAGGTTTAGATTTAAAGAAAACATTTGTAACTTAAAACGTATGTTGAGACTGAAGAAAATATTTGAAATTGAACAAAGTTTGAAACTGAAAGAAAAGTAAAACTATTATGGATGCCTGGAACTAAATCGGGGCCATCTTAAAAAGAATTAAACTAAAAAATACCTGAAACAGAAACTGAAAAAAACATGTAAAAAATGTTCAAACGACTTATCAGATTCAAGTTACTTTTTTTTCCAAGTTGCAAAATTATTTTTTAGATTCAAAATATTTTTCGTTTGAACCAACTTTATGGCCCCAATTTAGCTCCATACCACAGGAGCAGAACTGATTTGTTTTCTCTCAACATTTTAATTCTTCTTTCCTTCCATGAACAAAAAGGATTCAAACATCATGAGGTGACAAACCTAAATAAAAATATCATTTATTTTTGATTTTTATTGAAAAAACACAGTTGCTTAGAAAAACGAGGAACAGAATATAAAATAAAATGTGCCTGGAGGATAGATTTCTACAATGGTACAACCCCCCCCAAAAGCAAACATTATAAACATTAGAATAAATTAAAAATATTAAGTGACCTACAACATTCAGTTTCTTTTTGTTGCAAATAATAAACATGGCTCAATTTACTAAATAAAAACTGTAAAAAAAGGTGAAGATGATAAATTATATTTGTGAATCTAAAATTTGCCAAACATGATGAAATTAATTGCCAGTTTTGAACAGCTGAGGCTTCATGTCATTTATTTTTAAGCAGCAGCATGTAAATGTTTGGCAGACAGGTGGCGCCGTAGGCCAACTTTATTTAACAGAAACTCCAACACAGTAGAACAGAGTCCCTGAACAAAGACATTATTTTAAACATTCACCATCTTTAAATAAACTTTTTGCCTTTTTATTTGAAGGGGTAACTTTAAATACCACTTTACCCCTAACGTTTGAAGTAGTTTTACTCTTACTTGAGTAAAATTTTTGGTTAATTTTGATTGTACTTAATATTTTAAAAGATTAAAAGAACAAGTTTAGTTCTTGAACTACAGTTGGGGCCGCAGAATTAATCCAAAGGCCACAAAATGGCCCCTGGGCCACAGTTTGTACCTCCTCGTTCTAAGTGAAGCTAATTTCCAGCTGGTTCTGGTTCTGTGGGTCCGGTTGTGGCTTGAGGCGGCGTGTTGGCCTGCAGGCCCACCAGCCTGCTGCTGATCTCCCACAGCCGCCGCGCCGCCACGTCGTCCAGCGCCTGCGGCGCCGGCTCCTTCTCTGTCATCACGTCGTAGTAGCGACCCGTTACGCCCGCCATTTCCTCCGCCACGGCCAGAAACACGCTGGGCTGGGCGCCGAGCTCCGGACTCTTCACCAGCATGGAGAAGAACGGGCCTGAGGAAGAGCACGAAGAAGAGGAGGCTAACAGCAAATAGTCTCTGATTATTTTCACCTATAATCAGAAATATCATCAGATTTTGTAAGGATTTCTGATGATAGCTAAACATAAAGTAGTAAAGTAGTGGAGAACTAAAATGTTTCCAGTTTAAAGGGAAACTAAACCCAATATAAAAGTTAAGCCCCGCCCACAAAGAGTTTCCGAAACATTCCACCAATGTGGGCTAAGATATGATGTGGGCGTGGTTTATAAATGATGTGGGCGAGGCTAAGAGACAATGTAGGCCTGGTTTAGAGATGATGTGGGCGTGGCTAAGAGTAGGAAGGAGCAGAGGGGGTTACCAGGTTCACTGTTGCCAGTTTATCATCTTTGTGGCTTTGTGGCTATATTAAGCAACTTCTCAGATCCACCAGAGACAAGCAACAAATTCAGGAGCAGTTTTAAAAATTCGACAAACAACAACTACAGTGACTTTTTTTTTAAAGTGACCAAAGACAAATCTAGTCGCTTTTTTCAAAAAGCAACAAGCGTCAAATTTAGTGAAGTTTTCAAAAAACGATTAGCAACAAATCTAGCAACTTTTTAAAATAAGCAACTAGTGACAAATTTAGTTCAGACCCAAATTCAATTGAGAACTTGCATAAAGACATTAAATTTTCTGTTTAGATTTTCAGTTGAAACTGCAGTGAAAAGTTGCTCCCAGGATCAATATAGAGGTGCACTCCACACATTTCAGATCTGTGAGTGATTTTTAAATACTTTTGGTTGCAGTGATTTTTACTTAGGGCTCTCGGATTGTCTGAAAACAGATGTATGCCACACTTTTCAGATGTTTCTCTATTAAAAACCTAATGAACAGTTCAGCAGAGACTCACTGAGGACGGTGCTGGAGAACTGCGACTGGTGCAGGCCGGTGTGTCTGCCGAGGTCCGTGGCTACGACCCCAGGGTGCACGGCGTTCACCGTCACTCCGGTGCCTGTCACACACACACACACACACACACACACACACCTCAGGTTAGAACACCGCGCTCATCGCAGGCCGGACCGCCTCCCACACCGAACGCAGCGGCCGGCGGACTCGCCTTCTAGCCGCTTGGCGAGCTCCCTGGTGAACAGAACATTGGCGAGTTTGCTCTGGCAGTACGCCTGCTTCGTGTCGAACTTCTTCCTCTCCCAGTTCAGGTCGTCGAAGTCGATCTTTCCAACGATGTGGGCGAGCGAGGACAGGTTGATCACACGACTGGGGGCGGAGTCTTTCAGCTTCTCCAGCAGGAGGTTCGTCAACAAGAAGTGGCCTGGAGGAAGTCAGAGGCTTGGACTAGGTTTACAGTTTAAGAGAAAGATTTTTTACTGCTAGCAAAAAGGCAATAAATCAATAAAATGCATAATAAATTAAAACACAATAATTTCCACTTGTATGGTTTATTGTTTTTCTCTTTTTACCAGAAGCTGCTTGATAAAAGTCTTCAGTCTGGTGCTTTGGTCTCAACTAGCCCTTTTTTGAAGGACGATTTTGTTTATAATTCATCTTATTTGATGTTCTGTTGATTTATCTCAGATATTTTTAAAGCATTTCAATCAATCAGGTTCAATCACGTTTATTTGCACAGCACATTAAATAAAAAAACAAGATGCATTCACAGATTAGAGAAACAAACAAACATTACATTTTGTTGTGTGCTGTAATCAACAATCAGCAATACACGTCAAACATGTTGGTCAATGTTCCAGTGATTTAATTTAGGGGACTAAATGTTTTCAGAGTTAGCAAAAATGCTAATTGATTCCGTTATTAGCACATTAGCAGAAGTCTGCCGTCCAGTTCCAGAATGTTTGTTAGAATGTAAAATTTATTGATCTTTGAGAATATGTTCGTGCATTTTTAGCCGTTATATTACAGTAAAATGGTCTCAAAACAACAAGATTATCATGTATCGCAGTAACTTCTGGGACAATTTATCACCCAGCAAAAACTTGTAGTAAAATCATTCGAGTCACTTTTTTGAAAGAATGTACTTTTAGGAGTATTTTTATTACACTGAACTTTTTTACTTTTGTAAATGTAATTGAGTAAAAGTTACTACCCAACTGTGTGCTTTTTGGCTAGTGGAGTTAGCAAATTCTCCCCTGGTTCTTCTCAGCAAGTGGCTGAGAAACACAAATACACGCCACACTTTTCAGATTTGTAACAGTGAAAATGTCTAGAAAACTCTTTGATAATGCTTTCTCTGCGTTTGTTTTGCGCTTTTGACGGTGCAGTTGGATGAAAACATTTATTGGTCACTACCTAAATGGTTCACTCCCAGCTGCATGTCGAAGCCGTCCTCCGTCTTCCCCGCCGGACACCGCATGACTCCGGCGTTGTTTATCAAAATGTCCACGCTCTTCTCCTCTGCAATAAAAAGCAGGTTCGTTAGAAACTCTGTCTCATGTTTCCAGCTCTGACCTCGGTTTGGTTTCCACCTTGATTGATTCTCTCTGCGAACTCTCGGATGGACTTCATGGAGGCCAGGTCCAGCTGGCACGCATAAACATGCGGGTTCAGCGTCTTCCCTCGGATCTCACTCGCTGCCTCTTCACATTTCTCCATGTCGCGGCATCCCATAATGATCCGGCCCCCTGAAGAGGCCAGAAACAGAAGCCGCGTTTCTATTACAAATGTCAATAATATTCCACTAATGTTGGGGACTTCCGGTTTGACCGCGAAGTAGTCGCAGTTTCTTCTTCTTTTCCATTATTGTGGATCGCGCTTTCTGAAGCTCCCCTTTACCACAACGATAATTATAAATTCGCTACGTGCTTGTGAATAGAACAATATTCATCGTGTTTTAGTAGAATCGCGACCAGCCAATGAGACAATGACCAACAGAGCGAAAAAAGACGACGGACCATGTAACGGCTATGCTAGCGGCTATGCTAGCGGTCCATAAGAAATCCCTCTCAGCAGATTCAATGCGGTGTTCGTAAAGCTCGAAACAAATATTCCGCTAATTAAAAAGAAATCGCAATTTCGGTATATCTGGTAAATAAGAAGCGTAATTAAGTTCACATGTGAATAAGTTTGATCACATGATAAATCATTAAACATAAATAAACATCGTCCTTCAACTACTTCCTGTTAAAGACTTCTTCATGGTTTGCGACAGTGGCAGAATCCACTGTCGCAAACCTCTGGTGACTAATATGATGAAAAAGTGTCTCCATTGCAGTTTTCAGAAATACACCAATTTTGATACGGCCAAATAATTAGGGGAAAAAAAGCCTGATCAAATGTCAAAACTTTTTTTTTTAAATCAAAAAACAAGTTTTTTTTTTTTTAAAGCACAGCTACTAGAAAGAAACCCCCAGAATAAATAAAAAAGTGTTGTGTCTCCAGACCTCTGCTGGCCAGCTCTCTCGCCGTCTCCTTCCCGATGCCGGTGTTCGCGCCGGTTATCACGACGGTCTTCCCTTTAATCCCAGCCTTGCTGGGGCAGCGGCCCCCAGTCACACGGTTCCTGGAAAACCAATTAAAATTCACCTTTTACACTCAGAAGCACATTTTCTCAATCTTTCGTGGTTTACCTCTCTATTATATGAAAATATATAGTAATAGGATAATAGTAACAACAGTAATAAATTTTGTCATAGTGATTTGTACAACAGCATGTTGAGGCCATTGTAGTCAGAAAAAAAGGAAGAGTAGATTTCTGTCAAAGAACTGAGAAATTTTTAGATTCATCAGAAATTTTCTGGAGAACATAGGGAAATTTCTGAGTGTGAAAAGTAAAAAAATTTATGAAATTTCCATTAGCATCTCAAAAGCTCAAATTATACCTGAACTGCAACCCCAAATCCAAAAAGGAGGAAGTTCAAATGATCTCTTCCATCCATCACAACAGGCAAAGACCTTATGTCCTACTGCATCCAAATGGAGCAGCAAAAGTAAAAGACATGGATTAGCAGCACTAGCTAATCAACCAAGTTTTATTTGTATAGTAGAAGGCAGCTAACACCTTATGGTTTAATCCAGGACTTCATGTTGTGGAATTGTGAGCTGCTAGCATTAGTCTTCAGTCAGAAGCCTCCTGAGATTCACTGCAAGACTGACTGCTACTGGAGATTCTGTCTGCCCACAACGTCAACATCCACAGCAACTTTTAAAAGGTACTTAGATGATATTAGTTACAATATCTAATATTCATTTGGGATAAGTAAAGTTTGGGATACATGTAAATTTGTGTCTGGACAAAACAAAATGTTAATGATCCTAAAAGTTTTCTGAATTATAATGCTTTCTGTGGCTACAGAACTTCTAATTCTGCTACAACACAGAGAAAAAGGAAACTATAGGAGCTAAAATAATAAAATGTGACAGCAGGTTGTGTGTAAAATCCTGACAGTTCCAGTCGCTTTATTCTGAGATACTCACTTGATTAAAACGGCACTTCCGGCCACCGTCCCGAACACGGAAATCGGTAGAATATATCTGCTCATGGCTGCGGAGAAACGCCGAAAACCCGAACAGCTAAAGAAAGTTTTAACGTCAAACTCACATCTGAAAACAACACAACAGAGCAAGGTTACAGCAGCAGCCTTTTTGCGTCATCAGCCAGCGCCGAAAAGTGGAACTATGGGAAACGTAGTCCTGAAGAAGCTGAAAACTTATGCTAGTTCTCGGTTTAGACTTTTGAGATTCAAGTTAGAATGTGATCAAGTAGAAGATTATGGGATGCCATCACAGTCAAAAATCAACAGCAATAATTTTCGTTACTTAGCCAGTTGCTATGCCATTCAAAGTTGCATTTTAAATAAGCTAGCAAGCTGAATTTTTAGTTTACAAATTAAACATTTAGATTGCTAAATAAATATTTAGTTTCCAAACTAAATATTGTATTTAGATTGTTCAATAAAAATGTAGCTAGGGACATAAATAGTTTGCTAAATTATTCGCTAATTAAAGTTTGAAACTGTGACACTTATAAACAAATGAACAACATGGTGAAAGTATGACTGAAAATTTTACCTCCAATTTTATCTATTATTATTGTTGTTAGTTTTCGACTGTGTGACTTTATGAGTAATAAGGCTATGAAAGGTAGAAACTAATTTAAAAATTTCCTTGAAAATTTTTGAAATGTCTGATTTTCAAAAGTCAAAAATTTTGCAAGAAATAACTCAAAAAATGTACATTACTCTCAGAAATTTTCTTTAAGAATTTTTTAATTTCTGAGTTCAAAAAAATGAAAATTTGCAAGAAAAAAATGGAATTTTTAGATCAATTTCAGAAAAATTCTAGAAATTTTTTTGGAAATTTCAGAGTTGCAAAAGGAGAAAAATTTCAACTCTTAATATTTCAGAGATTTTTAGGTGGAAATTTTCTCCTTTTTTCTCATTATACAATGACGCTAATATGTTGCTGAACAAAAGGAGAAGATTACGCTATAAAATGGATCTTGTATCTCAACACTGGACTCAATTTGAACTGTTTCTCTTTCCTGTCCTGCATGGCTGCCATCTTTAAATCTGTATCGACTGGCTTCACTTAAAGTTGACCAATGGCGCCCTCTTCAGGACAGAGGCCAAAATACAACAGTGAAAAGAGGTCTAAACGAACGCTATGAGTTAATCCAGTGGATGGCAATTTAATTCACAATTAATTGTTTACATCCCTAGTACCAACAATTTCATCTATGATTTATATATTTTGTTTCTCTGTAATTAAAAGCATAACATAAGTCTATAGTGAAAATCTTTTTTGTCTTAGTAGTTTCTGGTGCAACTGGGACACAGACTGAGAACCTGGGAGATAAATCTGAGGATGAAACAAGGGCGTCCTTTATATGCAAGAGCTGGAGGAAGCTGGTGGCATAGAAAAGTAAAAACTGGGACAAGAAGCTGCTGTCTGGGAAAAGAGAAGAAATCTCTGCAGCTCTTACAGGTGTGTGTGTGTGTGTGTGTGTGTGTGTGTGTGTGTGTGTGTGTGTGTGAACCTTTGTGCCAGTTAAAGCAGACAGAGCTCTGCCTTCAGGATGATTTATGACTCTCCTGGTTGTAGAATAACCTGTAGGAAACTTCTGCCTCACATGATGCTCCACTCTGAAAAGCACCTGCATCTGATTGGTAGCTGGCCGGTCCGGGTCAGGGGTGGCCTAATCCAATCCTCCAGAGTTACTATACTACCCTGAAACTTTTATATGCCTCACTGATCTATCTATCTATCTATCTATCTATCTATCTATCTATCTATCTATCTATCTATCTATCTATCTATCTATCTATCTAGTTTTTATACATTGTTGTATTTCTTTTACTGTATATGTATTTAGTAAAAATGTACAAGTGTGTGTTTATATATATATATATATATATATATATATATATATATATGTGTGTGTGTGTGTGTGTGTGTGTGTGTGTGTGTGTGTGTGCGCGCGCGCGCGCTAAATATGCTGCTCAAAAAAATAAAGGGAACATTTCACTTTAATTTTGTGTGTGGCTCCAAATCCAGGCCTCCATTGGTTAATAAATTTGATTTCCATTGATGATTTTTGTGTGATTTTGTTGTCGGCACATTCAACTTTGTACAGAACAAAGTATTCAATGAGAATATTTCATTCATTCAGATCTAGGATGTGTTACTTGAGTGTTCCCTTTATTTTTTTGAGCAGTGTATATTTATTCGTAGGGTTTTATATTATGTATTAATTGAAGAAGATGACTCTGCCTAATTAACGCAGTTCCCTGTGGGGGCCAGTAGGGTGAGCACCTTTTTTACCGGGTCCATGTCCCCCTCTGACCCACCACTTGTGTTCGCCGCTGATTGTTGAACGTCTTGTCGGATGGATGTCCGTGTCCCGGCGCTAGGACCCAGCACACGTGAGCGCCTGTAGTGATCCACAGGGTGGAGCCGGTGAACAATGACTGGTAGGTCCAGCAGATGCAGAACATCTGAACCCGCCTCCCCGCCTCTCGAGCCCCGCTGGACGAACGGACGGACCGGGGCGGACCGACGGCCACAGACGACCCGGGCTCAACCTGAAGGTTTGCTCAGAGATCCGAGCCGCGGCGGTGTGAATGAATGGGCTCCTCTCCGCGTCTCCTGCGTGTGGAAGTGGAAGTGGGTCATGTGGACCACCGGAGGAGCGGGAGATAAACACGCAGCCTCCCGCAGCTGCTTGGCCGGTTAACGGCTCCCACATCCCGCTTCTCACGCTCCACATGTGGCTTTGATTCCTCCGAGCAAAGTGTCAAACTGACGGACAAAACGGGGACTTCAACTTCTCTGTTCTGGAGAAATATTTTTGCTATTTGAAAGCGAAGATTCGGTTAGTCGGTTCCGAGCAGATGCAGGACCATGGAGGAGAGAGGCAGGTCGCCAGCAGGTGAGCAACACGCGATGAGGAGCTTCCAACTGGGTCCAGAAAAAGTGGTTCTGGAAAATCCAGTCCACGAATCCTCCAATTCATCGTTCAAACCAAATGACCTTTGACCCACTCACGGTTGTTTTTTTATTCCGAATTTACTCTGTTTTGTGCAGCAAACAGTCCAGGTTTTCTTCTTCCAGTTTATAAAAGAGAAAAATTAATCCAACGGAAAATCAAGGCAAGACTAAGCTCCAAAACAAACCAGATCTGAACAAATAATTGTTCAGATGAATCTTTATTAAAATAACCGTCAGCTAATTTACTAAAATCGAATAATCGTTAACTTTAGTTTACAGACCCAGTAATTAAGAAAAGCTGTACAAAACTAGCATTTAGGTGAAAAACTTTCTTTGTTTGAAACCATTAAAGTAACCATCAATTAATCCTTAACTACAACATACAGACTCAGGGCAGTAATTCAACCAAAACTGCAAATATTTAGCATTTAACATGAAAAACCTTCTTTGTAATTATTAAAGTAACCTTCAACTAAATTTAGTTGTCAAATAATCATCAACTTTGGCAAAGACACTCCAAAAAGCTATTGAGTCAAAACTGTAAAAAAAAAAAAAAAAGTAAATATTTAGGACTTAATGAAAAAACATCTTTGTTTGTAACTAAGTTCAACCCAGAACTCATTAAGTTGCATATATTTACCTTCACCTGGTTCAAATTAAGAAAATCTGCTATTAAACACATTTTGCTACCCAAATATTAATTAATTATTCAAATCATAATAACCAGGTGAGGCCTACAGTGTTGAATTTAACTGAAGGGATTTTCTTTTCACTAACTTTTGAAATGCTTGTTTTCTTATTTTAAAAAGGAATTGAATTATTTGTTTAATTTCTTTAATGTACACAATAAGCTGTAAGCCATTAAATACAATTCAGCAAAATGAGCCATTTTTTAAACCGATTAAGCAATTAATCAATTGTCAGAATAATTGATGAAGTTATCAATTACTAAAATAATCGTTAACCCCAAAACAGATCTGTTGCAATATTCAGAGACATAAAACGGTGAAAAATCATATTTTTGATACATTTGATGACTTGAAAAGCAAAAATCTGACTTTGGTGGCATCGTTTTTCCTGAACAGCTGCTCACTTGTTTTCCTCTCTGCACTGTAATCCTCATGTCTATTGTTAGCTGATGCAGAAAATGGACCAGACAGGTGGAATCTCATTTTTAATGCATCTTAATGAGCATCTGACTTTAAAATTCCTGCAAAAAGCGAAACCTGGAGGCTGCTAATGGGTCACAAACATGGCAGAGGGACCAGCAAAGTGTTTATTTGCTTCTGCTCTTTGTTGAAGAGCCCAAAACAATTCATATTCAAAGCAGCCTCTGGTTGCTGCATAAATAATTCACATTTCAGGATGATTTCCCAGTAAGAATCGACAGCTGATGAGCGGTTTTGCTGGCGGAAACATGCTCCTCACATATTCTCTGAAATTGTCTCCTCTGAATGCAGCTGGGGTAAATGTTTCAGGCAGACTCTGCAAATAGCAGCAAAAATGAGTTTTCATGCTATTAAAGAGGAAATTGACCCACTCCAGCTGGAATAAACAAACCGTTTCCCTCCAAACCAAATGACTCAAAGAAATGAACATGCATAATTAAAATGTTTATGATTATTACTTGAAAATAAAAGGGTGGATTTTTTTTTACGCTGGTTGTTTTAAATGCAGATTCACTTTGCAGAGGGAAATAAACAAACCCTGGAAACATGTAAGTAAGTTATAATGAATGAAAACAAATGTTGCCCCTTTTCTTGACTTAAAAATGAAATTTTCTACAAAGTTCCTTCATTTTAGCTGTTTTTAAAAGCAAATCTCAACCGTTTTGTCAATTTAGTTAGACGTCTTCAGATTATGTGGCATTACAAGATCAGTAAATAAAAATAATGACATTTTGACATTATTACTGTATTTATTACAGGATTTGGAGCATTAATTTCTGCAATCGTTGATTACCTTTGGAAGAGTGACGTTCCCAGCCAGTAACTGTGAACGGTAGCTCAGTGCTAACAGTGTTGAAAACTGAAATATGCAGAAATAAAATGGTGAGATGGTTTGTTTTATACCCTAATGCGGGACTGAGTGATGTAAACATGGATTATTGGAACCAATAGGAAAAATCAGCTGCAGTACCACCGTTTAACCCACAGAGGGCAGCGCTGATATTTATCTAATTTCCATGAAAGTATA